GGAAAATACTATTGTTATTGATATTTTTTTTTAAAAAAAGTACAATACTTTCCTCAGACCAATCCACAGCAGCTAAAAATGGTGCTTTGTTTTAATATAGAATTGCTAGCTGCCTATGGTTCTCTGTAGAGCATCTTTCTGGGTGTGGAAAATGATATCCTCTGCTCAGGCCTCTGCTAGCAGAACATTTGCTCTTATTAGCTGGCTAACTACATCTCTCTCTCTCTCTCTCTCTCTCTCACACACACACACACACACACACACACTGGGCAAGGAACAGGGAGAACAGGAAGCTGCCCATAGTGGCACTTGCCACATTGCATACCTAATGTAAACATAATGCACAACCTCCTCTCCCTTCCTTAACCACTTCAAATATTCCTCCCAGAAAATCACCATTCCGTTTCATTCCAAATTCATTCCTGAAAAAATTGTATTCAGTATGAACCTGTTTTTACACAACAGTCAACATACAGTATATTGGTTTATTCATTCTGCTGTTCAACTAGCTTTAACATTTCTGGGTTTGATTCACTTCAGAATTGGTCCTTTGTCTTACTTTACTTAGGTGGATGAGTCTATGATGAACATCTTATAAGCATGGAGATATCTAAAAGGAGTCTGAAGCTTCTTTAAATTCAGTTTAAGTTTTCAGAACACACTTTAAGAAAAAATGTTTTTTTTTAAAAAAAACCCACCATAGACAAATGACAGGACTTTTTTTTGCTGAAATACACAGAGAATACTTTATCATTTCTCCCTTAGGTTGGAACTATTTATTTAATCTGTCCAGTCAATCATAACAAGATCTGATTGAAAATGTTTAATTTCTTCTTTGAAAAGATTGCCTCCAAGTGGAAGAGATCATTACTACACTCATCCAAGATTCGTGAATTAAATTTAAGGACAAACATTATTATTTTTGCATTTGATCATTCATTATACACATGTGCACACACAGAGTGCCCGGTAAATAAAAAAAGCAGGAGAGAATCTGGAGAGAAGACCATTCATTTGGAACAAAGTTATTAGTATTTCTATTATGAAATTAGTCGTGGGTCAGCACAATTCAGTATTTGCCAGCTTCCTGCAAGCTTTCATGGAGTTTCACACTGAGGTGTGGTGAAGTAGTTAGTGTCAGATTAGGACTAGGGAGATCTTGGTTCAGCCATGAAGCTCCTTGAGTGACCTTGGATTTGTCCCTGTCTCTCTTAACCTAATCTATCTATTTTCAAAATAAAATGGGAATGTGATAAGTACTGTACAGATACACATAACCACTTGATTCAGGGAGGGCGTCAGATGAAGTAAGTCACATACAGAAGACGAAATGAAGTTCTATGTTGATTGACAAATTAACAGTCAACAAATCCTTGGGTCCATATGATATAAAAGTTCTTGAAAGACGTGAAGTGAAATTGCTGACCTCCTAAGAGAATGACACAATCTATCATTAAAACCAGTTTCCTTACTAGAGGTCTGAAAGGGGGGTGAAAAACCCTCTCTGAATTTGCTACACCACTCATGGGCAACAAAAAGGAGACATTTCATTTATCTTTCAGAAGGAGAGATTGTTTTAGAACAGTTTGAGGGACACTTACTGCTGGCTGCAAACAATGGCATTTTCTCAGGTCTTTCACTTTTTAAAATGCAGTTTTGTGACCTCCTGCAAGTGAGTGGTGGAGATTAATGCAGCCAGCAGGAGCACCACTGCACTCCACACAGAACAACAACAACAAAAAATTTAAGCGAATAAAAACAGAGAGAGAAGAAAAATGCCACTGTTTGCTGGGAATAATAAGAACCCTCAGGGTTGACCTAAGAAGGTTTGCTTTCTCAGGTGAAGAATAAAATGGCACTCCCTCCCACATACAAAACTCAACTAGACTTCCAGTTGAATCTTTCTTCAGCGCTGGTGACATGACACTGCCCTCTGCTCAGTGGAGGCTGGCCTATGAGGACAAATGAGATACTGCCCCACAGACCACAGTTTGTCCTCAGCCAGCCCCCACCGGCTGCCTTCTTACTTATAACAAATCCAGGGTGTGGCTCTGGCTGTTGCCCTCCCTGCTTGCCACTCAGCCAGTCCCACTGAACCTGAGTCAACAAGCTAGTTTAGGTTGGCCTAAACTACCCTAAAGGGACGCGGGTGGCGCTGTGGGTTAAACCTCAGAGCCTCGGACTTGCAATCAGAAGGTTGGCGGTTCGAATCCCCGCGACAGGGTGAGCTCCTGTTGCTCGGTCCCTGCTCCTACCCAACTTGGCAGTTCGAAAGCATCAAAGTGCACGTAGATAAATAGATACCGCTCCGGCAGGAAGGCAAACAGCGTTTCTGTGCACTGCTCTGGTTCGCCAGAAGCAGCTTAGTCATGCTGACCGCATGACCCAGAAGCTGTACACTGGCTCCTTCGGCCAATAAAGCGAGATGAACGCCACAACCCCAGAGTCGGCCACAACTGGACCTAATGGTCAGGGGTCCCTTTACCTTTAAACTACCCTAAAAGCATCTGAAGCTTTGCTCTCTGACAGAATGACTAGGAGTGGAAGGAGGCTTAGGAACAGCTAGGGGACTGGTCCCCCCAGTAACTGCTGCCTGAGGCCATCATCTCATTTTGCCTAATGGTAGGGCTGGCCATGAGCACACACCTCCATCCTATAACCCTTCCAACCTCCCCAAAGATTCACCAATAGTTTAAGGGTCCAAAGCTGCCCAGCAGTTTCAGGAGCAAAAAATTTGGCAAATTATACCCAATGTAAGCATTAAGTTATGACACAAATCCCAAGCCCCATATACGATGATGGGCCTGATCTGGTGGTGGCTAATAAGGAAGAGGAGTTTGGACTTTTGATTGATATTTCACTGAAAATCTCAATAAGGATATTATAAGCCTTTAAAAAAGGCTGGAAATGGGCAACTAAAGCTAAAGCCTCTGGGCTAAGGAGGAGCCATGATTGAAGCTTATTTAAAAGAGAAATTGTGTTGAGAGGTTTTTTCTCTCTCCCTCTTTCATAAGAGCTCAGGGTCATTCAATTAAAATGATTGTCAGTCAATTCAGGACAGAGAAAAGACATTGCTTTTTCGCACAATGTATGATTAGCATACAGAATTTGTGACCACCATTTGTCGCAATTGCTCCTGGCATAGATGACTCGGAAAGGGGATTACAGCCAAAAGTGCCATGGAATCTAGAGGAATATTTCAAAATTTACCAAACACCTTTCTAATCATTGCTGTATCAAGAGTATTACTAGTCCTTTCAAAACGGTCAAGTTATCCTCCTCTGCCCTCTTTGAAAAAATAGGGGGGATCTGATATGGAGCAGTGGCAAGGCTATTTTTTATTTTACAAGAAGAGCCTTTGCCCATCTTATTGTTAAGGGTAAGACCTGCCCATTCCACCCAATTATTTAAATTCCCCTCCTGAAACTATCCTTCCCACTTTTACAGGGGTCCTATGAAAGTAATGGTGCTGGGAACATTCAGCACATCTTACATTTTAATCCTCTGAAAAATGCACCGCACAGAACATATCGTTTCAGCTCAACGCCAAGTCAGACTGTCATCCTAAGCACTCCTCTGAATGTCTTTTCCATTGAAATGGTAGACACCTGAACTAGAGCTTTTGAATGCAATCAATAAGACTGCTTTAGAGTAAGTACCCTGAGGATTGCCATAATCTTTTCTCTATAATGAAAAACAGGAAATAGGAATCGATTTTCTATTTGTGGAAGCATTACTGAATACAAAAGATATCACTCTTCTACACTGATCTATTCTTTTTTACAATTTATTGGCCTCACAGGTTCCAGAATTAAACTCTCCAACCCAACCATGAAACAAAGATTTAGTGATCAGTCTGACAGGGGACAGAATGAGACAGAACGAGCGCACTGAATTTATGGAGTCAGTCTGGATTAATGGAGTTTGTACAGTAAGCTCAAGTTGGAATACATTTGACGTATTTTATTATTAATAGTAGTAGACATCTTGCTTCTTTCGTTTGGAGAGAACAATCCTGTCATCTCTCATATGGACCCACAGAAGTCAAATCACACAATTGCCACTACAGGCCAGATGGAACCTAGTGATCTAGCAATGGGATGTTTGCCGCCCCTTTGGCAAGACACCAAGGCTAACAGCCCAGGAGTGAAGGTTACTCACTGGCTATGCAGAGGCTCTGTCCCAAGCAAGGGTGCAATGCAGTCAGGGGCTTGGGGGGGGGGCACAGAGATCATATTGAGAACCTTGACTTCCAAGGTAAGAGGGAGAAACCAGCTGGTACCATGCATTCTGGCCTCCTAGATCCTGTGGTTTCTGGATGAAGGTTAAACCAAACTGTACAAGTCCACCTGGCTACTTTCTTGACCTTCCTGACCAAGGCCCATTAGGATCCTTGCTGATACCCACCCAACCTGTGTGCTGTTCCCCCTATGGGCTTACTGTAGTATAGGGACTAAGACACAGGCACACACCTGTACAGTACTGGATACCACATTTACAAGTTGGAATGTGGGCTGGATTTGTATGGGAGACGTTGGATTGTCTCCCATGTGAACCATCCTTCACATGAAGACCTTCCTCAGATGTTTGACCTACCCATTTAATGTGAAATACAGTGAGTGGCAACATGGACCAGGGCCTTCTTGGTAGTGGCACTAACATTTTGGAACTTGTCACTGAGAGGTTTAAAAGAGGCAATCTTATACATTGGGAGTAAGACCTACTGAACACTTCCACAGCATGTGAAGCTTTCTCAAAATCAAACTCAATAGCCCCAATTTAATTAAATTTGGTCACACTTAACTCCCACTTCATTTTCAATGAGACTTTTGAATAATTAACTTTCTTTAGGGCCAGTTTATATTCATCAGGATTTAAGCTTAAATGATTTCCTGAATCATTTTTGACTTTGAGGACACAGAGTTTTAAGAATAGTATCTTTGCCTTTTGCACATCTCTGCAAGCATGTGAACCACACCAGATAAAGACGGAACAGAGCTGAGAGAGCAGAATATACATTTATTTAAGAATCTGGAGATCAAGATCTATTCTGAACTATCGAGGAATACAAACGCATAGTCCAGTAATTGTATTTTTATGGCTCACAGGAAATACTCAGGTGAGATTCCAGACCTATATCTTCATATATTTGGTTTTTCTGACTACTCTCATCTTCTCCAACTTCCTCATCTCCCATGAAAATATTTATCTGTGGGCTCATAGCCGAAATGGTGGCCATGCAACTGGCATTTGGAAATACCATGTCACAATCATTCTCTCCTGTGGATTGCTGTTGTTCTGATTTCTCTTCTTCTCTTTTGTCTGCAGCAGCTGCTTTTTCCGCCGCTGCCCTTTTCTCCTCCTGGCGCATGTCTTGGTACACCTGATGCATGATAAACTGTGTTGTGTTCCTAGGGGCACGCATTCCTGGTGCCCTCCATCCACACAGATTCATGGGGCGCAGTCTCCCCTTTACAGCTGCATGCATAAATGCTAACAAACGCTGACTCTTCCGCTTCCGATTACGGCGGTGACTTCTCCCAATCCTACAACATCTGGATTTCCACTGGTGACTTGCACACCAATGCTTTGCTTTCTCCTTCTTAGGTGATCTTTTCTTCTTCCAATAGCCTCCCCTTTTCTTCCATGGTCTACCATTCCCAGAGAGCGTACCGTTCTTCCGTTCGGAAAAGTGACAAGCTTTGGGCTTCTTCACTTTGGTATCATGATGGCTACCATGAGACACTCCTGGATCACTTCTTTCACCATTTTGGTCCCTTCTTCCCATGTTGGGCCATTGTTTGGTATATCCTAGTTGCAGAGACAGCTGCTGATAACACCGCCGTCCCTGTCTCCACATTTCAGGAGATAATTGGGAAGTCTCTTCCAAAAAACTACCTTTCCAACTTTCGATTTTTCCTCCCTAGGAGTTTCTCCTTCCACAGCAGCCACTGCTTGTGCTGTTAGTTCTGTATTGTGTGGTTTGTGCCTTCTGCCCTTAACCAGCTGGGCACACACTCCTGATTTTCCAGTACTTTCCCCCCCTGGTCGTTTTCTGTTGCTCCCTCTTTCTTTGTGGCTTTGGTGCCACTGCTCGCAATACAATGAGACCCCGGTGTGAGATGCTGCTTTGACCCAGATTCAGTGGGCCATAGGTGTCATGCCACTAGGGGTGGTAACTTCCTTTCCTCTTGGGAGCCTTGTATAGATTGAATAAAGCATCGTCATCACCCTAGGCAACAGGGAACCAATCATAAAGCAATGGGTGGGGCTGTAACTGGACATTCCGCCAGCTTTTAACAGGGTGGGGCTGTGATAGATGTTCTTTTGAGAGCAGCTCTGTAGAATCAAAGACTCTTGTCTTCTTTAGGCTCCAGGGCAACTGACTCCACACAACTGTCATGGTAGCCATGTTGGCGTGCATCTTTTAGCCAGACATAGCTTAAGGCAAATACTGTTTTCAGATACCCCAATCCAGTGTAACAGTAATCATTAAAGACTGACCTATGCCACATGACATCTTTAATGACTTCAATGTAAGCTGTTACCAAAGATTAAGTAATGAATCCGTTCTACTTTTCAGAAAAGAAGGCTGAAAAACAAACCCATCTCATGATTTTCCTGTCCAAATTACACAGGGATGATGTGAATAAACTGCCCATGACCCCATATTTAATTTTCTATGTCTGCCATATATATATCAGATTTCGGGACAGTTCCTACAAATGATGCTTGTGTAACAGTCAACATGTTTCTATCTTCCCAAACTACTGATGCAGTAACACTTAACATTCTGTTTTGCGCAGAATGTCTGGGCCCACAAACTGCTAAATATCTTAATGCTCATATGGATTTTATAGCTAGAAACTCTGTTTCTTATAAATGTATGTATTTGGTTATAGTTAAATTTTAATTTTGAGTTGATAGAGCACACCCTACAGAATATGCCCTTCTTCCATTTTATCAAAAGGTTGAAGGCAGAAGAAGCTAACTTTTAAATACCCAAAGGATTAACTACACACTGCAATCAAATACATATAACCAAACCCTGCTGTCCTTTTTATTTCCAGGACAGCCATATTGGGGGGGGGGGGGTTTGACTTGGAGCAGACAAGTAGCAGGGAGAGGGTTCTCTTAACCCTTTCCTTTCCCAGTGCTACTCAGCTACAAGTAGGTCTGCTCCAGCTGGTTTTTCGTCGTCTTGACTACAAATGTGCTTTGATCTATGCATGGAGAAAGGCTTCAGGGCGGTTTGTAGCAGAGACCTAGCAGGCAGTATAAGGGCCGCTGGGCCCCTCCTGTTCCTCCCTTCCAGTTGTTGTTGTTGTGGTTTGTTGTTGTTTTTAAGAAAGCTGGTTTGGATTCAGTTTCAAATGTCTCTGTGTAATGCGTAGTTAGGTATGGAACAGAATATCAAAAAATTCCCTTTCTCAGTTATTGTACAGCATTCCAATTTGGATACAAGCATTTAATAGAGAAGTTGAAGAAATTCAAGTGACTTTTATTCTTAAGATCCATGGTGACCCTAAATGCATAAGTTACTTAACCCTATGTGTTGAGACCGGTCAACATCTGATGGAAACCAATGCATGGCTCACTACAACCAAGGCATGGGTGAAAGTCCACTTTAGAACAACATCTAACTCCTTCTTAACCTCTATGCTTGAAGCCCTGGATGGTATAGAGCAATTCAAGATAAAATCCGTAGTTTGGGCATTGCTCTTAAGAGCCTTGAAGCATGTGACGAAAGTTACATATTCCAAATAATCAAACAGTGACTCTACGACCATGAAAGACAGCACTTGTTACCTCACACTCCGAGATCCTGTTCTCTGGAGGCCTTAGGTATTACAACACCCTATGGAACCTGTGCCAAATATCTAAAGGATCTACTACTCCCTTCCCATTGAAGAGCCTTTATGCTAGCGAGATGAAATGCCTTCCCCTCTGTAGTGATCAAGGGTAGATTCTCACATGCCCCATATCAAGCCCATTTGTGTGCCTGCAACCAAGAAGTACCTGATTCAATGGACCACATTCTCTTAGATTGCTCTCTACACAGTAGACCTTGCCAACTGATACTGAGCAAAATGTTGGACCTCTGGCCTGTAACTCTGAGAAGAAGTCAAATGAGGTTTCTCCTGGCAGATCAGGGCAAAGATATCCCTGCTTTAGTAGCTTCCTTTTTAGCCACAATTTTACCCGAAAGGGTTCCCAATGAACCATCCTTTCAGGGAACAGACAGGGCGAAGCAGAATATCTAAGTGCACACGATCACAGTGTGACCTTTTGACCCTCGACAGCTTCACCCTTGTCCTTTTAATTATCCCAGTGACCTGAAATGTTTTAGACTGTGATGCTAATAAATGTCTTTGATTTGATTTGAAAAATAACTTAATGGGATCCAAAGTTGCCACAATATGATCAGAAACACTTCTGTTCATCCCAGGTTCTTTCCCCCTGACTCCCCCATTGCTCCTCAGGCCCTTGTACACCATCCCATGGCTTTCTAACATGTTTCCCAATCCTTAGGATTAGCTTCCAGGGGGAATGGAGGGGCTGCAGTGAGATGGGGTGTGTGTGTTGAAAAGCCCCATCAGAAGCAGAATGTTGCCATGGAGCTCAGGATCCAAGTTTTTGTGTTTATGCAGGTAACCAAGCCTATCAATAGTCTATTGATATGCAATAAAGTAAGGTAAAGGTAAAGGGACCCCTGACCATTAGGTCCAGTCGTGACTGACTCTGGGGTTGCAGCGCTCATCTCGCTTTATTGGCCAAGGGAGCCAGCGTACAGCTTCCGGGTCATGTGGCCAGCATGACTAAGCCGCTTCTGGCGAACCAGAGCAGCGCACGGAAACGCTGTTTACCTTCCTGCCGGAGCGGTACCTATTTATCTACTTGCACTTTGACGTGCTTTCGAACTGCTAGGTTGGCAGGAGCAGGGACCGAGCAACAGGAGCTCACCCCGTCACGGGGATTCGAACCGCTGACCTTCTGACCGGCAAGCCCTAGGCTCTGTGGTTTAACCCACAGCGCCACCCACGTCTAGTGTTTAATCTAGGGCTCAGCTGATGGGGCTAAACCTGCCCCTTCATTCATGGTGGAGAGGGTTATCAATGGATACTTCCCATGATGGTTATGTTCTGCTTCCACAGTCAGAGGCAGAAATGCTTCTGAATACCAATTATTTGAAACCATAGTATGGGAGAGTGCAGCAATGCTCTAATTCTGCATGCAGGTTTTCCACAGGCATCAAGTCAGCCACTGTGAGATCAAGATGCTGGACTAGATGGGCCATCGGTCTGATCCAGAAGGCTTTTCATTAATATCTGCAGGCAGCCCTGTTCAGGGAAGTTTTTAATGGTTGGTGTTTATTGTGCTTTTAATACTTTGTTGGGAGCCGTCAAGAGTGGCTGGGGCAATCTAGTCAGATGGGAAGCATATAAATATTATTATTAGTTATTAATTTCCCTATGTCATCAAGGCCAGGTGGCAAATTTCACCCCATAAACATTTGAATGCTACACTCTTTTGCTTTCTCAGATAAAAGGCTTATTCACTCTTATGAGAAAAAAGCAAAACACTGCATTCTATTGGAAAGAAACCAATGTACCATTCCAAACTATGCTGAAAGTTCAGCTTCAGAAACTTGGCCATTAAATAAAACAAAGGCTCTGCTTCTAATATGTTCCTTCATTGATTCTTATCAGCGTGACTGAGAAGAATGACCATTTGAAAAGATAATGAATTATCTCCTTTCATTCTCTATCAGTACAGGAGCTGTCACATATTCAGACACAGGCTTAATTTCCACCTTGCCTAGCTTTATTCTCCAGACACTTTAGGGAAGCTAAAAAGCATGAGAGTTCTGTAATCCTGATACATAGAAACTTCAGCCAGAATTACTAGATAATTTAACAAGTTCGTTGTTAAAGAGCACCCAACTTTAAATACACACACAAAATACAAATATGAGGATTTGACAAGCTTTATTTATAATATCTCAACACATGATGGCAGTAGTACTCTTTAAAATGGTGATACCAATGCAAGTAAATTATCAACATTCTAAAAACCTGATATTATTTGCAAAGATTTTTTTAAGAAACAAATAAACCAGAGGTTGGCTAAATTTCCGAGTATTTGCCGTCTTAGTTGCTAGTAAAAAAAAGATCAACAGTTGTTGACAGAAACCACATGGATAGGAAAAGGAGAGGTCTAAAGATAGATGCATGTGTCTATCATTTCTACTGCACATATGCGTGCAAGTATGGCTTTGACTTTAATCTGCACCCAGTATTAAGAAGAACAACTCTTACAACTGAGGTAACAAACCTTTTGGGCTGAAGGCTGCTGCATTGACTCATGGTAAACCCCCCCTCCAGTGACTGCATGCCAAAGTGCAGGGTGCAGGTCGCCAAAATGTAAACGAGTATGATGATTTTTTCTTTTCTAAAGAAAACTCCGAGGGTTCCCATGCTTTTTATAGTTGGGTGACTATGGGATCAATCAGTTAATATGTATTAATATATACATTAAAGTATTGTTTTAAAATGTACCAGGACTGGCTTAGAGGGCCACACAAAAAAAGCATTTGTCATCATGGAATCGAAATGGGATCCAAAGAAGCCATAAGTACATGGTAAATTGTGGGAGGAAGGTCTTAGTAGACTACAACTCTTGGGAACCAGTTGTAGATTGTGGGCCATGGATAAGACATCCCTGTCTCACAACAAATAGATAGCAACACTTGTGATATCTCAATTGAATATTAACAAATATTTGCCCTTGAAAAGAAGCCCCTATTTTGACCATTTTTAAGGGAGTAATGAAAGGGCCACAGAGAATAAATGCTGGTCCTGTGAGCAAGTACCTATATAGACTCACCCTCTAGTCTCAATGGTCTTGGCAACCAGGCCAATGCCTTTGCTCCTGCATAAAATTTTGTTGCACTGTACTTTTAGCAATGAAAGTAGAGCAGCAGAATGGGAAGCACTGGCTGGCTAGGCATTGGAGTGAACATCTGAGTACACATTGGAATACATGTAAGAATGCACCTTTAAGCACAAATCGCATTGCTCTCAAATGAATGTTATTTATTTATTCAATAGAAGATTTATTGCTTATAGCTATAGACCATTGCATATAATACAAATAAAAAAAGCAAATGCCTAAAATACAGACAGTCAAAGTGCGAGTCTGCAATAAATCACACCAATCAAAGTTGGAGTTAACACTTTATTAGCAAAAACACAACCTTCACAGACTTGGCTGAGTGTCAGGCCTAATGAGCACAGCAGCTCATCCCTGGTAGTTTTATGCCACAAATCAGTTGCCAAGAAAAGGTCCCAACCTTCCTGCAGCCATCTAAGTCTCCCCTCTCCAGAGCTTTCCCCAAGCAATCAGGGACCAAGCCTATGTGCAGCCTGTCACTGCTCCGTCCATTTCAGCCCAATTCTGGTTCTGGGAAGCAGGGAGGGAGGGGAACTTGTGGCAGCATGAGGGGGAGCAAACTGCCACACTCAGAGCTTTGGGAAGGTCAGTTGCTTCAGTAAGTCCAAGCCATCGATCTGCTCTGACCCTGACCGATTGCTACATTCCTTCTGTCTGCCATGTAATCTCAACCTATTGCAACCAGTCACAGCCAGGACAGGACAATTCTAATTTAAGCAGAACTGACCACTGTAGGCACTGCTCTGTTTTATCTTCTTCTTTTTTTTAAATGTATTTTTATTAAAGATTTTCTTGGTTTACAAAAGTATGTGGAATCTCTCTCTCTCTTAATTCCAAGTAACATTTTTTACAGATCAGTTTCATTTGTTGAGACATTAGGAAGAAAAGGGGGAAAGAGGTGGAGGGGGGGAAAGGTGAGTGGGGATGGGGTCGGGTGGTGATGTTTCTATTTTCCTTAATATATGTGGGATTTTGTGTCATTGTCACTTATGCAGGTTCTCTGCTATTCACTTGTGTTCCTTTGGTGATGAGAGGGGTTAGGATTGGCTTAGGGTGTGGTTGTTTGTGATTGGCTGTGGTGATCTTTGTTTTCATGTGTGAGTGGGGTGGGTGGGTGTTTTGGATCAGGTTACCCATATTGATTTGTATGCTGTTGGTGGATTTTTGTCATTGTCTTGTTGGGCTGTGTATGTGATAAAGGGGAGCCATACCGGGGTGAAGGCATCTTCTTCTATTTGTCCCCGTGTCAGTTTCAGTTTATTGGTTAATTTTTCTAGTAAGGCTGTTTCCCATACTATTTGTTACCATTGGTCCATGCTTACTCCTGACAGGTCTCTCCAGTGTCTGGTTATGATGTTTCTGGCTGCTGAAATTAGGTGGGTTATGAGTTCTTTGTGGTGTAAATGGGCAGGAACCTCACCAAAATGCTGGAGAGGGTGCATCTCCACAGGCACATACCTCCACATGTGGTGGGAGTGCCCCAAAATCCAACAATTCTGGACAACAGCCATACGAGAAATATATAAAACAACTAAGTAAGTATTAGAAACCAACCCAGAATTGGCCCTACTAAACATCTTCCAAGACAATAAGGACAGTATCTTCTAAACTGTCATAGACACTTGAAGTAAGTATTAAGTAGTGTGATGCTAGAGAGGAAAGCATATGTGTAGAAGGTAAATACTGACTGAATGTTGGGGACAGAGTTTCTTAGGAGGTAGTGCTTCATATTTGAATGTTTTCTCCCCTTTGGTGTATTAAAATATATGAACAGAAACATTCTGTAAAATTTATACAATACACTTGGTATTGCTCTGCACTTATTTCCATAGTGTCAGGAACTACTGAGATATACCATTTCACAGAAGTCTTCTACTGTTGATTTGAGTTGGTTGGTGAGCTTAGTAGAGAAGCGGGGAATTTTATTTCTTCACTATTATCTAGCACAAAATTACTGTGAAGACAATACACATACTTGGTGTACATTTTTTTACTTATACAGTATAAGGACGGTTTCCATGTTTCCTCTCTAGTCCAAAGCAGTGTTCAACATTTTACAAGAGAGTATATTTATTTTTAATATTAATGTTTTAGTAAAATAACCTGATCTGGCACCTAGCTGCCCTCTAGAGCAAGTAGGACGCTGGCCTATATGGAGCTTTGGTTTCATCCAGACAGGAATTTTGTTACATTTTTATGAAAAAAATTATGGAAAAGCTTTACATATAGAATATGATTAAAAACAAGGTAGCATGGGTCATTTTCTATTTATATACAATTCTTATAGCTTTACTATTACAATTTTAATGTGGATAAAATTATGAACCATGCATCATTAATATTCAGTTTCTCTAATACTTATTCATTTCCTTCTCCCTTCATCATAGTTATCATGTCAGCTATTCTGCACTGGTTACAATGCACTGGTTACAATATGGAAGCATGGTATACTTTAATAGAGAATGAATTAGTATCCAGCACTGTGCGTTACTGACTGCAACTGTTTACTTATTATTTTACACCAATGCAACCATATCATACTGTCACAAGCTTTTGAAGCAGTTTGCTTTAGAAAGCATACTTGCAAAAGAAATTATGTTACATGACATTTTCGTTATGGCCTAAGCCTAAAAAAGGCTCCCAACAGGCAGACGGGGTAGACACATGTACGCATGAGGGGTTTTGCTCAGATTAATGGGATTGCCATCTAGCCTGATGTCTTCGAGAGACTTGCGGATGTAAGAATAATCCTTCATTTTGCAGAAAGTATCTTCATGCATTTCTTGTATATTGTTGTTCTAAAAAGAAAACAAAAGATTTATTAAAGCCAGTATTTAAATTCCAATTTAAATGTCAGTTTGTCAACAATAACCTAATAATTAGTAGTAGCGTGCACTGGATTTGGATAGATCCTGGGGCCAAGCAGGGTGCCTCAGAGGAATTTTGGGGTTTTTAGAGGTGAAGTGGGATATCAAAGAGGCACAAGTCAAAGCCCTAGGACTTTGTGATGAAGGTCAGATGAGAAATTGAATCAATAATAATAATAAGAGCAGGGAACTCTGAGTGTCTGGAGGCAGCTGGCAGATGGATGGCAGCTGACTGGTTTAGGTTCAATCATGACAAGACAGAAGTACTGTTTTGGGGGGACAAGGGGCGGGCGAATGTGGGGGACTCCCTGAAAAACCAGGTGCGTAGCTTGGAAGTCATTTTGGACTCACAACTGTCTGTGGAGGCACAAGTCAATTTGGTGTCCAGGGCAGCTGTCTACCAGCCCCATCTGGTATGCAGGCTGAGACCCTACCTGCCCGCGGACTGTCTCGCCAGAGTGGTGCATGCCCTGGTTATCTCCTGCTTGGACTATTGCAATGCGCTCTACATGGGACTACGTTTGAAGGTGACTTGGAAAATACAACTAATCCAAAATGTGGCAGCTAGACTGGTGACTGGAAATAGTGGCCGGGATCATATAACACCGGTCCTAAAGGATCTTCCCTGGCTCCCAGTACACTTCAGAGCACAATTCAAAGTGTTGGTACTGACCCTTAAAGCATAGCTATCAACTTTTCCCTTTTCTTGCGAAGAATCCTATTTGGAATAAGGGAATTTCCCTTTAAAAAAGGAAAACGTTGACAGCTATGCCTTAAAGCCCTAAATGGCTTCGGTCCAGTATATCTGAAGGAGCATCTCCAGCCCCATCGCTCAGCCCGACAGTGAGATCCTCTGAGGGTCTTCTGCTGGTTCCGTTCCCTCATTATGAGAAGCAAAGTTACAGTGAACCAGGCAGAGGGCCTTCTCGGTAGTGGCGCCCTCCCTGTGGAACACACTCAGATGCCTGGTGCAATAGGACCTCCATTTTCTCTCCACCTCTTGCATATACCAGAATCTGCTCTGGAGGGTGTCCTCCCCACCTCCAAGCTGATTTTGTGGGAAGGCTGGAGGGTGACAGGATGGGGAAAGGAAGCTATACTGCACACACTGATGTCTGTTGCGTCAGGAAAGCTGAAGCGCTGGATGCGGCCCAATGTGTCTAAGCTTACCCACTATGTTGGGAGGATGGGAGAAGGGAGAACATCAGGATTAGAGAGACCACAGAGGAGGAACTCTGTTGTGACTGACAGGTCTAGCTTGCTATCAGAGGACATGATTTTACCATTGTCAACAATCCCCGTGCTATGGGGGGTGGAGGGAAGCAGCTTTGCAAGACCATATGTAAGCTGTGCCTGTGAATAGCTTTTGTCTTGAGTGAACCATGTTGAGTGATTAGCATCGTGGACTGATGAAGCTTGCTGCAAAACCTGGATAATATCTGGAGAACAGGTCTCATCTATTTGGCTTCAATTGTTCATTTGGCTTTGCGTTTCCAGCTAACCACTTGAAGAACGCCTTCTGGCAACCACTCCTAAATTTATTGTGTTGTGCTTCCAGTGAATGACTATTTGTTCCAGCTGTGTTATGACATATTTACAGTGGTGCCCCGCAAGACGAATGCCTCGCAAGACGGAAAACTCGCTAGACGAAAGAGTTTTCCGTTTTGGAGGTGCCTCGCAAAACGAATCTGCAATGGGCTTGCTTCGCAAGACGAAAATGTCTTGCGAGTTCCTGGGTTTTTTTTTTCCTTTTCCCCCTCTTTTTCTAAGTCGCTAAGCCGCTTATCTGCTTATCTGATAAGCTGATAAGCTGCTAAAAGCCGCTAAAAGCCGCTAATAGCGCTAATAGCGCTAATCCGCTAATCCCGTCAATGGGCTTGCTTCGCAAGACGAAAAAACCGCTAGACGAAGAGACTCCCAGAACGGATTCTTTTCGTCTTGCGAGGCACCACTGTATTGCATATAAAACCAGTACAGCAATGAGAGAGACACTGGTACATTCTATGTTTATGAATATCTCCAGGCTTGGTTATTCACATTGCACTTTAGTTTCCTCATTGTCTAGTTGGTTTTTGAGGGTATATATTTATTCCAATGAAATTGTTCTTTATATTCATAAGCCAGTTCTGGTGTTCTTGGTTTGTTGTTCAATTATTGTTATAACACCTGATACTTTTTGTGTATGCATATGTAATTTATGTCTCCAAATTTAAGAAAAGCATGAGGATGCGGAGGGGGAGAGAGCACCTTTGTAACCAATGGGTCCAACTTCTAACAAGAGGAAATAATATTTAGTTCTTCCTAGCACGAAAGCCCCTGAACCTATTTGTATGAAATTTGGCACACTTCTTATCCAGTAAACACTATATCCAAAATAATTTATTGATTGTTTTAGCCCACCTGCAGATGAAGAGACTGGAGGCTTTCAGGGAGTGGAAGTGGGATATGATCCAAGTTGTTATCAGTGATGTAAAGATGGTGCAAGTCAAACATATCCTGAAGAAAACAAACAATATTTTTTTTAAAAAAAGAGAAGTGATTTATTTGTTCTCATTCTGAGCCACACATGAGTATAGACACTTAAATGCAGTCAATCATTTTAAACATCTGTACCAAGATAGATTGTTTTTAGAGATTCAATGAATGTTGTGTGGAATATTCGGCTTAGTGGTTTTATTTGCTTGTTTTCAGGTTTGCAAAGCCTGGCTACTTCAGGCCATAAGACTGAGCCTGACCTCACTGCAGTTCTCTCTTTATCACTGCACAATTTCCCTGTTGTTCTCAGAGCACAGAAGACAGAATCATACTATGCTGCCATACAACTGCCACCTTACTCTGACAGTGACTTTGTGCAAGGTATTTTTTCCATTTGAGTATTAAATTTGAGTACAAAAATATGGCTTCTGTATCAGTTTTGATGTATATGTGCATGGCACAGGTTGCTTAAAAATACATGCTAGTGGCAAATTTTGATTTAAAAAAAAATGTTTTGGTTGTTTTTACTGATAATGTTATTGTTTTATATTTGCAAACTGCTTGGAGCTTTTTCACAATCAAGCAGTGCACAATAAAATAAAATAAAATAAAATAAAATAAAATAAATAAGAGGAAAATAATATGTGCCTAATCCATGATCCTTTCTACATTGACCTTAGGAATTAAACCTCTGCCACTATGTTGTTTTGCACTGGAAGAGCTATCTCACATCACTTTATGAGAGAACTCCCTCCTGCTCTTATAATGACTATTTTTATTAGTCAAATAGAGGGATTTTTTTTTCCAAATTAGTCAGCAGTTAAATACAGAACTCACTTTAAATGCTTCTTGTTTGATTCCTTTGCGACCAAGCCTGTTGTTACTAATATCAATGAATATCAAGGTTGGTGGTAATTCTGGAAGCTGCCTTATCTTGTTATCTCGAAGTATCAGTTCCTGAAGTTGTGGTAGTTTCCTGAAGGCATCTTCATCAATTTCAGATATAAAATTTGAAGTCAAGTCAATCCTTTTTAAGTTGCCTAGTCAGGGATACCAAAGCAGGGAAAATAATTACAGCATTTCTGCCTGCTTTTAAAGACCAACACCAGGGGTGGGGGTGGGGAGGACAGACAATCACCATTCTTTGGATGTAAATAGTTCCAAATTATAGTTCATAATATGATGTTATGTCCAGAAGATGTATGCTACTTATATTTCAGTATGAGAAAGTACTTTGCATAGCGTGCAATAAAATAAAGTGTAGTAACCAATAGTAAAGTCATCCATACTTAGGTTAGCAAAGTCATCCCTGTTGACCCTTTTGATTCTGTTATAGCGAGAGTAGAAATGTGTGGTTTCCTTCGGCAAGGGGGGAAGATCTTCGAGTTCACGATCATCACAGTAGACAGAAGTACTTAGGCACATACACAGAAGACAAGTTGGGAGGCCTAAAACATGAAACAAGAAACCATTCACTTAGTTATACACTTGTAAAAATTTAGATTAGCCTTTTTCAGAGACACATGGAATGACTTCTGTCAAATCTAACCAGCTGCAAATTCACACAGAGCCATACCATCCTACAGAGCCTACAGGCTCATGTGTAGGTATCTGAGTTCTCATGAATAACTTTCCTCTTAGTGTAGCAGAATAATCACCAGTCATGCACCTTTTGATAAAAGTTCCACATTTACACAATTTGTGGAGTAATGCATAGTGATATTTTTCAGATATTGGGAAACGTTATATTGAATATTTCATGCACTTTGTGTTACGCCATTCACAACTGGGTGCACATGCAAACATGTGTACAATATCAATGCTCCAATTTTTTGCCCTTAATATTTATTTTTTAAGTTACAAACCACGCTTTTGTAAATTTACAATTAAATGAAACAAACACACAAGAAGTTATTAAGTGGATTTATTATTGGAGGCAATGTGGCTGTTCAAAACCAACAACTTTGAAAGACTCAGTGTAATCAAATCAAGTGGATTCCCTTGTTTATTAGATTGGTCTGGATATGAAAATTGCTGCTTGAATAATCCTAGTGATTCACTACATCTGTAATGTTTTATAGGAAATACTCTTATGAATAATGGAGCATTTTGTCCATACTAGATTTCTCAAGTCATAGTCAGGATGATATCTTCATTTTATATTCTACCTCCAGGATCTGTGTCTTCCCTTTAAAACTTAATAAACCTGCATACATTTAGTTTGGTAACCAGCATGCTTTTTTGATATTTGAGGAAATTGGTTCCCGCCCCCATGAGACCTCAATTTCCTTAGAATTGTTTTTAATTAGCATCTTTCATGCAGAACAATGACATCAGGAAAGGCTTCAACCAACCCTTGAGGAAAAACTGCTTGAAAGCTGTAGATTATTAAATAAAACATCAAACTACTGCTGAATGAACATAAGAAAATGATCTAAAGCATTTAAACCAATTTATGAAAGGGCTTCATTAACAGGTGTGTGGATGTAATTGGGAAGAGCTCTGCATTTCCCTATTGCCTTCTGAAAAAGGAGGTGGGATTGAGAAACATCACAGATATTTATAGAAAATAGAACATAATGGTGCAAAATGATGCCATTTTATCTGTCTAATGCTGTTAATGTGGGTGTTTAGGATAGACTGGAAAGCATTATTTAACATTACTGGTTAACATTACTGGACTCTTTTTAGTGGGATTTGGAGTGTTTTCCAGAAGTAAGGAATTCAGGGCCTCGCACCTCCCAGGTTGCTCAAAACCTAAAGCTCCATTTACTCCACTGCCCTTGCTTCTGCTAGTCTCTTTTCCCTTACTGTTCCTGAGCAGTGACTGGTCGCCCCTGGACCTGGTGTGAGGCAACCTGTGGTCAAGGAGGTTATGTAGGCAGGGACCAATAAGGTCATGTGAGTGGGACTATGGAGGTTACATGGAAAGGGCCAAATTGTTCTGGGCCTGAAACCAGACTAGAATCTGTTTCTTACAGGTCTAAAAGGTAAAGGGACCCCTGACTGTTAGTCCAGTCGTGGCCGACTCTGGGGTTGCGGCGCTCATCTCGCTTTATTGGCCAAGGAAGCCGGCATACAGCTTCCGGGTCATGTGGCCAGCATGACTAAGCTGCTTCTGGCGAACTAGAGCAGCGCATGGAAACACCGTTTACCTTCCCGCCGGAGCGGTATCTATTTATCTACTTGCACTTTTATGTGCTTTCGAACTGATAGATTGGCAGGAGCAGGGACAGAGCAATGGAGCTCACCCCGTCCCTGCAGCTATTTAGCCACCACACTCTCAACCACATTGCCCAGGGAGGAAGTACTAGTATAATTATACTAATTAACCTAAAATTTAGTGACATTATTTTAATTAACATACAACCAAGCTTTAAGGCTTGTTTGACTTATAGGAGGGATCAATGTTGTGTTCTGGGGAGGAGGCTTTAGTTATTTCCTTTTCTTTAGCAACTGACATATCACTGCTTGGCTTGGCTCAACTCAGCTCAGCTTCTACCATAACTGGCAGAATAACACAAAATCAGCAATTTGCTTTTCAAAACTGGAAGAAAACAGATTAGATTGCCCAATTTATCTGTCACTCTTGAATGTCCACACACTCACTAGACAATTTAAGAAGTCTAGATGGTAAGGAGGCAAGTCTGCATACTGCAAACCCGTATAGAAAACTGTATTACATATTCCCTGATGAAAAGGCTCCTTAGCTTGTGTGGAATTATAGGCCCAAATCTAGACAAAGCAGAAAGCCAAAATCATGTCCCTCAACTCTCTCTTACAAACCTTCATGTGTATGGGGACCAAGAACTCCTGGTCCATGAGGTGAAGAGCCATCAATAAGCTTAGGTGTGGATGCTTCTTCTTCAGGTTCTTCTGGCAGTGGAGAAGGTAAATAAATCTCTCGAGTTACAGATGGTACTACTGTTCCAATCTCTACCTAGGAGACACACACATATTAAAGCAGTAATGTGGTATCGGTATGCAATGTCGATTTTTATTATAATTTGCCGTATATTCAAGTTACCTGGACTTATATTAAAGGCCTGGGAGTTTCTGGTGTGGTTGGAGCAAGAATGTGTCAGTAAGAAAGCATTACACACTAAATGCAGGCAGAATGTGTGAAGAAGACTTTTTCTGCTAGCTCAGAGGAAATGTGAAATATCCATATCACATACAAATTAGTACTTTTTACAGCAGGATGTATCATTCACCATCTTGCTGCTGTAACCAACCACTCTAGGTTCACATACTTAAAAACCAATGTATCTTTGCAACCCAAATTGGCAGATAACCTGCAATTTTCATGAAACTTGATACCTTAAGATATTGGGCAGAGGCCACCCTACAAGATTAAATGTGTGGTTTCTGACAAAAGCATCCCAGTTTGTATACCTACATTTTTGGGAGACTTAGAATAGCTCTTTGGTTTACGTAGTAAGTATCCAACACAGACTGGAAATAGTAGTTTCAGAATCCTATTTTACCAGTAGATGGCACATACTCCCTGGAACACAACAATATCAGCCTATTTTCTGTTCCATAACTCTACAAATTTATAAAATCGTACATTAACCCACTCTTCTTTAAAATTCACTTTAATTTTTCTTTTCAGTGAAGCTTTATTTCTCATACATGCTAGATTGTTTTCTCTGGAGAAAGCTGGCAACAGATTCTATAAATTAGTAACATATTGCAAAAATAAAATAAAATCCAAATGGTTGTTGGTGGGCTGTTTTTTTAATGGAATTGTAAAACTTTCTGTATTCTCAATATACTGAAATAAATTGAGTGAAGGACTGAGTTAATAAATCATTTGCTGGGTTGTTGTTTTTTAATCCCCCCCAACTGTCTGAATGAACATTTTCCATGTCTGTTTATGGGAGCAACCATTGTTCAGAATTTCAGCAAAGAACCAAAACAGTGCTTGCAAAGCTGCAAATACAAAGAACTTGGTTAAGAACCTAGACCGCCTCTCATGTATGCGACAACAGCCGCGAGAGTTTTAATAGCACAAGGATGGAAGACTGAAGAAACCCCAACTAAAGAATCATGGCAAGAAAAATTGATGGACTATGCAGAACTGGCAAAACTGACATACAAGCTATGGGACAAGGATAACTGCGACTTTAAAGATGAATGGGAACTCTTTACAAAGTATTTGAAGACGCAACAAAGCTAACTGGACTCCTTGGCTGGTTTTGAGTAAACATTCACAAACTTTTTATTGATAATTATTACCTAAATAGTTTGAGGATCTATACAACCGTGTAACATGCAGAAAACAGCATTTTTAGAGAAATCAAAGACTGGAAATGAGGGAAGAAGTCTGGGGGTGGGGGTGGGTGGGTTCCGTGGGGGGAGGGAGGGAAAAAGGGGGAAAATAAGGATGATATGTTTCTGGATAATGTTTTGTTTTAATTTTGAATAAGAAAGTTTTTGTTTGTTTTTTTAAAAAAGGACCTAAACCGCCTCTCCCCATATGAACCAACCCTGACCCTGTAATCATCATCTGAGGTCCTTCTTCGTGTGCTTCCTCCATGAGAGGGCCTGAAGATCTTTTCTGTGGTGGCTCCACATTAGTGGAATGCTCTGCCCAGGGAAGCTTGCCTGGCACCTTTATTACATATCTTCAGGTGTTGGGAGAAAACATTACTCTGTTACCAGGCCTTTGGCTGATCAACATTTCATGGCCCTTTAAATATGTTTGTGGGAGGCTGCTTATTGGTTTGTTTTTTATTGTTTTGTTATGTATTCTGTGTTCTAATGTTATATTTTTATGTTGTGAACTGCCATGTGGTCTTTGGATGAATTGATAAAAAATATTTTAGGGGTCTGCGTAAGTTCTGTGTGCATGCTGAATAAGGTGAATTGGGGTTGTTCCAGTCATGATTCCATGTTCCTGACCAGATCACGTTATTAACGAGGAAGATCAGGGGCCTACTAAGCTTCCAAGTTTTTCCTGAGGTCTATTTCTTTCAAGAAGTTAAACACATAAACTTTCCTCCTCTCCTCTCCTTTCTAAGAATCAAAACTAAGCTGACAGAGCTTGAGAGGTGAGGAGGGGTGTCTGTGTGTTTGTGTATCTCATGTGTGTTTGTGTATCTCATGTTTTGACTGATAGAAAATAATTCACTGTGATTAAAAATCAAACCTAAGGTCACTCAAGTTGCAGTGATTAGGGAAGGGATGTTGAGATAAAAGAGAGAATACACCATGCAACAGAAGCTACAGTTCCACATTGCAAGTACCCAATAGCATCCACATAAAATGGTACACCTTCAAGGAACCTTGAACAGGGAGCAAAGAGGCCAAAGTCACCCCACCTCCCCCTTCAATAGATAACCTGGAATTCCTCTTCTTTGCAGAGAACAGGAACTGCCACCATCAATGCCTTCTTTTGTGACTATGAAGCTAAGAAAGTGTTTTCGGGATATCAGTATCTTGATGAGATGAGATATATGTTCTTGTCCCTCTAGGCAGGGTGACAAGGATAAAGACTGTTATCATATGCGTGTCTCTAAAACACATTGCTCCCATCTGTCATTTTGAAAAGGAGACAGCTTAGACAAGAATGGACTTTGGGACAAATCAAAAGAAGACCAAAAGAACACAGGAAATCAATGCAGATGTTTTCTTCATGGAGGAAGTCTAGAGGGAGGAACACATTCCAGACATCTTGACCCAGCAGGAGCATTATGCAAAAGTGCTAACATATGCCATGTAAAAATATGGCAGCTTATCCACTTGAAGCAGCAGACATGATGAGCAATTTACTTTTGATCAAGGCCATATCAGAGAATATCATCTTTTGTAAAATGATTCTTTAATAGTAATTGCAGCATGTTTAGAAAATGCAATAGAGACTGACGAGCTTAAAGAAGTGTTTTTACATTTAGGAAGCTATATCTCTTACAGTGTAACAGTATGCATGTTAATGCTGTGCTTTTATTATGTTGGAAGGTGCCCATGGTGATTTGGGCAACCCGGTCAGACTGACAGGTTATAAGCAATTATTTATTTATTTATTTATTTATAATGATAAATCTCACTGTTTTCAGCTTCCCAGGTAGGTACACACAGAACTGAAGCTTCAATTTGTGGTTACTAATTTTATCACTATGGCTATTTAAAGATCTACATTTAGATAAAAGCTTTTGTAGCTCTTATGATCTTTTCTCTTTCTGAAATATCACTTTATGGCAGCAACAACTCGGGGGACTTGGCTTGGTCTGGAAGAGAGATGAATGACAAGGATTCCACTAGTATTCTGAAAAAATGTTAACATTAGAAAGTAATGCTGGTATAAGGGATGCCAACTTAAATGTGTGCACGTGCACCAACACACTTTCATTTCTCACCTTATTCTGCTTTCTTTCTGCCTGTTCCTCTCACTTCTTTCCACAATGGCTCTTTGTTCCACATGCTTTCCCTCTCACAATACCACATGCATATACAGTGGTACCTCGGGTTACATACGCTTCAGGTTACATACTCCACTAACCCAGAAATAGTGCTTCAGGTTAAGAACTTTGCTTCAGGATGAGAGCAGAAATTGTGCTCCGGTGGCATGGCAGCAGCAGGAGGCCCCAGTAGCTAAAGTGGTGCTTCAGGTTAAGAACAGTTTCAGGTTAAGTACGGACCTACAGAACGAATTAAGTACTTAATCCGAGGTATTTCTTTTCATAACTGTATTTCTTTTCATAACTAAAGAAATCAAAATTTGCTAGGTGTACAGCCATGTGCATCGGTGTAATGGTGCAAATTCACACAAAAATCTGAAAGCAAACAAGTAAAGTCCTGATCTGAAAGGCAGGAGGCAATACAATCTCTCAACAGACAGATTCAGCTGAAGAAACCAGAAAATGGAACCTAAGGGATAATGACTCATGGATGTAGTTTCACACTCCTCATGAATCCTTCATATATTCACCCTCTATGTGGCTGTGCCTTGGGCAAGAACTTGCATTTACTCCATCTAGAATGAACTGGGATGCTCACATTTCTGACATGACTCTTCCAAAGTTAAACACTGCAGAAGGCATTCCAAAAAACGAGAATCAAAGATGTGTTACCTGACTGCTAAATCTTAAGCTTCACAAGACTGTCAATAAAGTGATAGTTCCGGCTTTGTCTTTTGGGCATCAATCCAATGACAGGTGATTTAAAGCACTGATCAATATGCTACTATGCCATTTCACACAATGAGAACATGTGACCTGGAGGTTACAAGGGAAATCTGCTTCTCATTAGTTTTATCCTAAGCCATGCACCATTCTGTCTTTTACATATTTGACAGCTCAAACAAGAGCTTAACAAGACAAAGATGTTGCTAGGTTCAATAATGCAGAAAATAGTTTTTTATCTTCCAAATGTTTGTTTTTGGCAACACTTGAAAAATCAGAAATGTGAGATTGTGATGGGGCAGAGGAAAATCCGTGTGATGTATTACTTTCCCCCTCTTTGTTTATTTCCTCTGCTGTTCTAAGAAAGCATTTTCTCCCTCCAAATAAATATACAGTGGAAATTATATGTCATATATGAAGGGAGTAAAAAGTAAAAAGAGGTTTGCTTCACAGAAGCAATTTTCATATATCAGTAGTATATAATTTAATAAAATTAATAATACAGTCTCCCATTAAAAGGTCTCATGAACAGCATGACATCAAGACACTTAGTTCATGTGAACAGAAACAGTAGGAACAAGCAATGTATCTGAACTGTATCTTTGAAGAAATAAGATATCCCCATAAAGACTTTTCTACTGAAATCAATGGGACTTAAACGCTTCCTTGTAAGTTTGACCTCGTTATGATCTTACGGATTCTCAATTAAAACGGAAGTAACTGAAATGCCTTTAGGGATCTTTTTAAACTTTTGATTGGGTGCCGTTTATGCTTGTCAAGAAGGCAACATTGCTACTCTTACCTAGAATGTCTAAGTGGCGGCCTGCAACAAAATGTTGCATTGTGAAGTGGTTGTGTTCAGGGTTCCAGACACCTAAATCTGCTCACACAAACACTGTTTCCCCTCCCCCTTGTTTGCCCAGCCTTTAGTCAGTACCCGTTGGGCTGTCTAGAATTTATTTGGAGGGGCCCGGTTGCCAGGGGATACACATGTACATCATTTCAGCTCCAATGAATTCTCTTATTTCCCCATTCATGTATATGGCTGTGTCTCTCTTCCGTCTCTGTTGGTATTTAAATATAGCTTCTCAGCCTAACTTAGGAAGTGACCTACGTATCTCTACAAGGAGCTGGCTCCTCCTACCACAAACATGTTTATTTGTCCTCCTTTCTCAGTCACTCCATTCTAGTCCTCCTTTCCATCCAGTTATCATGTTTTTCTCTCACTGAACCCAATTCAATATAATTGGGCTATTATTGAACTCTTTGGGGAGTATCTGCCCCTTTAGGATATTTTCCTCTAAAAATTTCTCATACCTTCAGTTTACCCTGAGTCTAGCAATACCTCTCTTTTGTCCACAAGTAGTGTGGTTTTGGCTACATAAGCATGAGTATGGGGATTCTCAGATATGCAGTAGTACATGTTTCTTCAAAGTCAAATTGCATACTGTGAATGGTATAACGGGGGGAAATAAAGTATTAAATACATTCTAAAAACCTTTTAATGTCCATCTTATGCACTTTCCATTCAGTTTTCCTAAGCTAAGCATATATTCTACAGTTTCTTCCAAAGCAGTCTGCTACTGTGTTTTCTGTGGTAAACAGGAATGAAATTTTAAAATGGTTTCCTGAGTGGTTTCTATTAAGTGCCCATTGGCTTACCCTGGCAAAATCCCCAAGCCACCTAAAGTCCTGAAACCCTCAGAAAATTCTGTGTTAATGTAATACCTGTGGAAAATGAAAATTATTCAGGGAAAACACACACCCTTGTTTACATGACCTACACTATACAGTATATGTGAACTTAACTGCATATTGGCCTCCATATGATGGATATGAATGCTAATTTTTCTCCCTTCGGCAATCATTATTTAACCATTAACTTTAGCAACAGAAGCCCAAGTAGTTATTTGGATCTGCATCTTCCAAAAAAAAAAGCAAAGTAAACTAGTTCCCAATGATTTTGTATCAAAACCAGCTGATCAAAAGATCTTCACTTAGTCCCAACCCAAGTGGCTCACGATGACATTATTTTCTCTTTCAACTCAAACTCTGTTTGTAAAACAGGTGAGGCAATCACCTATAATCTTTGAGCTCAGAAAACTGCTGCTAGAAGTGCTGTAAACAAAGCTCCCTTGCTACATCTGAGTAAGACCTGACCTAACCCCCCCAAAGAATTTAAGGTCTTTGATCCTTCTCCTCTTACCCTGCTCTTATCTCCTCTCAACCCCAACAGAGGGAGAAGGTGTCAGAGCCTATTTTTGAACAAGACAGAAGTAGCAGCAGGAGGAGCATAATCCTCCCATGAGGATCCACTGATTTCTGCACACCTATCTTCCTGAAAATGAGCTGCATCCTAATCTCCTTCCTCTGATGAAAACCTTCAGCAGTCGTTCAACCATGGAAAGTAAATGAACTTTTGCACTGTTGACAGATGTGTACAAATACATGATATTACCAATTTGGCATTTTCTAATGCATTATTTAAAAACCAACCCACAATTCTAAGCATCCTTTTTGACGTGATTGTCCACATAGTGTAACATGACCTGGGAAGCTATAGTCAATTGCTTCCCAGCCTGTATACATGCATGTAGGATCACCATGTAGTATTTTTGTCAAGGCTGATAGGAGTTGTGTATGCTGATTCTCTTTCATTTCCCCCCTGCTACAATCAATCTCTTATACCATCACAGCTGAAAACATTTTTCTCTCATTATGTCAGCTTTTTAGCTTTACCCCCTTCTGCTATTATTTAGTCTTGAAAATTTTCAAGGAAGAGAAAATCATCATGTTTAAGTATGCCTTTTAATCAGAATGATTACACAGGAATTTTCATTCTTTTTAAATAATTTAAACATGTACCATCTAAGAGACTTTGACACCCCCCCACCCCCGCTGGTCCATTGCCCTAGTTCAAATTTAATTTCAAGGATTCAAGGGGTAGTCATTCCCTTACTTTTGCTGCTTAGCAATTTTCTCTTGGATGCTTCTCTTGATATCCTTGCTTTTTAATTTTATCACATTATGCTAAGGATTACTTCTATGAAAGTAATGGAAAATGCTACCTGAGTCTATGTTAAATGTCCTATTTTACTGGCACTTAAACTTTAGTAGGGAAGACTGACTTCATCCAATCACATGTGCTTGACCCTTGCATATCTTGCCGTATTATATCAAATGTCTATCTGGATCCAGTAGGCTATGAATTCCTCACTGCAAGAAGAAACAGTCCCAGGCACTTTAAAAGAGATGTTAATTAGATTGTCTTGAAAAACAAACAACTAGCCTAGACCTATTAACAGGTCCAAGATGGTCACAAATATCCCCTTCCTAAGTATGGTATTTTACTGGGCGATTGCTAAGTAGTTCTAGATCTCATGGATAACGCTGATTTTCTATTTGAGTTGGGTTTTCTCTAATTGAGTTGGGTTTCAGGCCTAGTTTTGGAATGGAAAATGTCTTTGTTGCCCTGTGGGATGACTTTTGCCAAGAATGGCGCAAGGAATAGTAAAAAGGAAAAGGTGAAGCCTTTTTAATTTTATTTTATCACACCTTTATAATAGGCATATTTGTTTGGCACTTTTAAATAACTGCACCAAGTTCTTCGCCCTGGCTGGTTTTATGGTGGTTTGCATTTATGCTGCTCTGTTTATGCTGGCTTTTAGATAGTTTCTCTACTGCTGGTTTTATTGTTTTAAACTTTGGATTGTATAATAAAAATGCATTATACATCTTATACATAAGATGCTGCAAACAACTTAGTTATATGGGTAGTATATAAATGTGATAAATAAATACTATCATAAGAGTACAGACACATGAGTTGAGTATAGTACATGTGTCACAATAATACATGTGTCAGTAAGTGCAATTTGCATCTTATTAAATGTGGACTGCAAATAGAAACACCCCTTTCCCCACCTGTGTGAAGGAGGATGTCTTACATTGCTCTGTTATGTCTTATATGACTTGTCTTGTTTTCAGACTTACACTCCTGCCTAGAACTACAATTCCCTCTTCTGCTATTCTAGGGTTGGTTCAAGCATTTGAAAGGGAATTCCTATACATCTTCATTTTCAGGCAGGTAGCTCAGCTTACTTATTCAGCTCTGGAGTTTGAATCAGAGCTAATAAAAATGTTTCCACTTTAAGATTTTTATAGACATGGGAATCTTTCAACAGCTACAGGCAAACATGGACACGTTTCTCAAAAGAGACTGATACGCTAACCCCAAAGAAAAATATAAATACTGTACTATATTTCAGAAGCTTGAGGAACATTTTGAGGCTCAGCTAAAAAATGAAAATAAGTACAGATTACTCCTCAAATTGCACTCCCTTTCTAGTCTCTTTCTCCTGCTGGACCTAACCATCCCTTCCTTGTTCTTATGTTTATTTTCTTTTAACATTTCCTTTTTCCTGTTGTCTCTGCTTGGCAGCAGACACATAAATTATCTACTTGAATGGCATCTTTCTTTTCCTTAATTCTCTCCTGAACAATAAGCCCCCTTAGGATGAAATATTTTAAAAGGAGCCAAGTTCCTAGAACTTGGAAGCTAAAGAAGAAACGAAAGCCAATATACCACCTCATCTGCAGATTGGTAAACTTCCAGAACTTTCCACTCTAGTATTCTTCTTAACTATGGCAATAGGACAATTAAAGTGAACCCAGACTTCTGTTTAGATTTTCCACCTTCCTACCTGGAAGGATCACAGTGATACAAGAGACAGCAATGTACAAAGGGAGATGTCAGGAGCCAAATTCATCATCCTACAGTTCAAAATCTGCACAAGCTGTCCACTTTCCTTAGCACCTGGAGGATGGCAACAACATATCCTATCTAAGAAGATACATAACTCAGAGCATTTACATAAAATTCCAGGCATGCATTCTTAAAAGTTTTATACCATTTGTATGAATTTGTAAAAAGAATTCCAGTGTGGGAAGAAGACTTCCCACTGACACCATGGCAAAAATCCTAGACTTCTATCTTGGCTATAAATCACAAAAAGAAATACACTTTCCTCACAATGTGAAGAAAACACTGGTTTTACTTTCCTATATTTCCTTGTGTAATATAGCCAGTCTTTTGTCCCTAAGATGCCCAACATAATATAATGTTTATTACCCTAAACTGTCAGAAATTGTTTCTCTTTAGCATTCTTCTATCAGTCAGATTCCAGTTGCTTAACTTCACACACAGAGACTATTCTGAAAGCAAATGTAAAACAAAATTCTCACATGAATATCAAAACATTTTCAACTACCTCTAAAAAATTGTCTATTTTTTCCTTCCAGGCCTGGTCACTATTGACATTTCAGACAGAATCATAAGCCAATAGGTACAAGGTCAACCAAGGCAGTTGCTATGGCAGTGGCCCAGTGCTGTCTATATAAGTGATTAAGGCATGTCAGTTCAGCATTGCCGGGATCTTGGGTCTATGTGTCAGAGTCAGTCTTTGAGTCTGTCTGTGAGTTGGAGTCTGTGTTATGCCTTGAAACTGGAGCAAAAGAAATACTTTGAACTTGTATATATCTATCTGTAGCTGCAAAGCCTACAAGCTGTATGTATATATGAACATCTGGAACTGTATTACTGAAGCTTTATCTTCTGCAGCAGTAAACTGTTTTAGACCTTAAGGCGCCTCTGCATGGTGACTAGAACTGGGGACAACTTCTGCTACATAGGTATCTCACCTCAGATTCCCAATGTTAATGTAATATCAGCTCCTGGCTATACCCCAAGTGATCCACAAGAACATGAGATGGGCTCAAGCACCAGCTGTTCTAGTGTGTTATCAAAAGACATGATGGTATATCAACAGATTAGGTGATGCCAACAGACCATGGTACAAACAAGTGAGATAATGGATGTTTGCTTTATTCTATTTTAGCATGCCATCACTCAGTGATTCCCTAATGAGATCCACCAATATGTACCTATTTCCTGCAGAAACACACAAATTGCTGACTGTGATCTGAATTGTAAACTGAGTCCATTAAACAGAAAATACAAGTACCTGTCAATGTAACTCATTTCTTCTCCCCAACCCACCTAATATAAAAATGTGTTTGTTATCACTATTAACAATTGTACAATATAATACGTAAGAGCAAAATAATCCCCACAATTTAGAATTACCTGTGCCTGATCAACAGACAGATTTTCATCATAGTCATATAGGCTATCCAGATCTTCCAAACCAACATCATATGTTTCAGAGTCGTAAGTTACAGGACTCCTTGTAGGACCAGCCAAAACAGCATCAAAGAGAAAAAAATGCATGAAAATATTTGCAATGGCCTTCATTCTTCAGTCTCCTAAAGGAAGACAGCATATACGCGATTATTAAAAATATAAATGCAAATATCATATGAAATATAATACATAGGTTATTGAATGCTATTAACTAGAAATGTGATGAGCTAAGGAGTTTTACAAATAATTCGATGTGTGTATACACAGTAATCGGTCACGTGAGCCATGATGTAAATCAGGAGAGTGCAACACTTCAGAGAGAAACATTTTCAAATGATACTTATTCTATTTAGACATTCTACTTCAGCATATATAATTGGAATTATTTGTCAAGTAAACAATATACATACTTGTACAACTGGATGTATAAGGGCAACATTCCCAATTAAACACTACTCTAAAAGAGATAAACTTTGGCTCCATGAGTAAGAAGTCCTGATGGGATTCATATTGTCTCCTTTGCGGTCAGTGGACATCACAGGTGCATAGCTGTGCTCCATCTCTATGTTGGTTGCAGCCTGTAGGTGGGTATCCCATTTTGTGAGGAGGGGTTGAGACTCTTAGTGGGGTGGTTGTACAGAGCAGGTTGAATACATTAGGAAGAGTGATCACCTGGATCCAGAAATCAGAGGATATTCTAGGCCTGCTCTCCCCACTTCCCGCTCAGCTTCTTTCAATACTTTGGATTGTATTTTAGTGTTGTGGTCTCCTGTAAGGGACTGCTACCCTATAGCATCAGGTGCTCCCCTGACAGCTAGGAGTCCAGCACATATACCTAAATAGATACAGTTTGGTTATGGGATAAAGCCAGACCCCCATATGGCTCAAATGGGACTATTCTGTTCATAAGCGTGGGCATAGGCCACGGGATTCTGGGCTAGAAGTACGCTGCCTAAACTCTATGCTGCACAATAACTCATCTAGTATATCCTTCCTGGTTCTGCAATGAGTGACTCCAGGTTCATGCACATGTTTTTCCAATGGGCTGCATGCAGGTTCTGGTGGCAATGTGAATGCAGCCCATGAAACTGGATTTTGAACTCACAGAGCCTCTGCACTCTTAGCATAGTGGATTGGACTAGGTTATAACTCTATTGTTCAGTATTGTTTTATTGAAATCTAAAGTAGATCTGGAACACTGGTTTGAATTTTGTTTACAATACTGGCCACTGCCCAACTAGTTAGTCACCCTTAAGCCAAACTGGAATCAATGTGCTTTGTTAGTTGCAACTAACTTGTGCCAAGCACAAATAGCTTTAGTTGGATAGGAGCCATGTGGTCTGGACATTAACAGTCTTCTCTTATCATTTTAAAGCATTGCACATCAAATTTTAAATACCCCTCCCCCATCCAATTTCCAATCTTCATTGTATCATTCACATACATTGAGGGATTTATATGGGAAAAGTGTGAATACACACACAAATGCACAAACTGTATTTAAACTGAGAAAGCAGCACATGACTTTTTACACATTTAGAAGCTGTGCTTAAAGCACACAGTGTATGATATTAGAAATTCATGAGACAATTTGTCTTTTGAGGTTCCCTAGACTGAAACAAACTGATATTAAGCCCCTTGAAAGAAGGCCTTTGTGAAGCAGGTTTACACATGGAGGCATGAAATTCCAATGGGAATGGTGAATAGCACAAGGCACTCATTTTTCTCTTATACACTTTCCAGTTTTTTTAGCTACCTAGAAGACATAACCTACAGCTGGCAGACTCTCTTTGCCTATAACCAAGGGTTAACTGTATTGCACTTTTCAGAACTGATTTATTTATAGCGTTAAAGGTTTGTCTAAAGAGTTGCTTTACAGATATGCTATTATGCTGATAACTTAGGAACCTCTTATATGTCAATGAACTTATTTGGAAATTTTTGTAATAAATAGTATAAGGACAGTCTAATTTGGTTATTTTTTCTGTTTATTTATAATTCCAAACAGTGTGTTGATTTGTTCATATTGTAGCTTGTACTGTTTTTACTACTGCTCATATTGTCTAGAACGTCTAATTTGCAAAGTACCGGTAGTTGATTTTTTGTTGTTGACATTCTCACAAGGAGCTCTGAAGTAAGTCCCTGATTATCTAAATGTGCAAATGTAATGCTGAAACCGAGAGACTGTGTCTTGAACACATGACTGGAGAGAGATCTGAACCCATGTCTTCCAGATGCAAAACCATCACAATACCCACTGAACATACTGTTTTGTTTTACTGGAAGAATAAGAGTTTGGACTGGCAAAAGAGGCTATTATATCATATTACTATTTTATTGTTTTATTATATAATTTAGATTACATTTACAAATAAAAAAATATAATCTAGTATTTTGGAGCGTATTTTGGAGCATATTTGGCTGTTGAAGACCACATCTAAAGAAATAAAACCACACCAATCTCTCTCATATATTATATATATGTCTCTGTATATGTGTTGTATACACACACACACACACACACCTGTAAATCTGCTTGGTCCACTAAAAACTGCTTATGAAATCTGTGTGTCTCTGTACGCCTTTTAGAGTATAAGCAAAATATTGGAACATACTGTAATTACACTGGCATCTACAAGAGCTGTCAAATATTTTTATGCCAATAATGTATTACTCTCTCACAGGAAGCTACTAAGAAATAGCCATATAAAAATAACATAAGGTACATTTTTATAATTCTAATTCTTCTCAAAATATTAAAATGCATTGCTTAAAAATAGTTTCTGCTTTTTTTATATATAAAAAAATCCAGTTTGCTAATCAATAAAGAAAGAAACAGAAAACTTACCTTTGGCTCTTGCTTTCTCAAATGGCACAGAATTACTCTGAATGCAGAGCCTGTGGTATTTGACCCTAACCAATGGCAGTGGGGTGCCTGGTTTGTGGGAGGGTGGTACAGGAAGCTCTAATCCTGAGAAAATTCTTGGTGCTTAAACACCTTCATATCACAATTTCTGAAAGAAATCTAAGTGCAAAAGCTAATGATGTAACTAGGTGCAATTTGTTTTTGCAGAAAGAGGATTTTAAAACCCATTACTGCACCAGCTAATACATCATTCAGCATTTCCAAGAATAAACAGAAAGTTCTGAACACTTGAGCCTGTGTTTTTTAAGCCTAGTAGTAAAAAAAGGAACAACTAAACACATTGCGTACCTTTTCTTATATAGTTTGTGTTAGTATTAATACAATTATTTATTATTTTATTATGCCAAATGAACATTTAGTGTGCAAAGTGTGTTTCAGGAAATATTTACATCCATCCTCTTAACAAGAAACTTGAGAAATATGATAATATTTTCACTAGACATTTGAGCAACTGAAGCTAAGAGGAAATGACATGCTCAAGGCCATCCAAAGAGCTCAGGGCTCAGTCGTTTGACCCAATTATCCCCAAATTAAAACATTGCAATAACTTCAGTCTAACCACCAGAAGGATTTTCCTCTTCGCTAATTATGATGATAAATGAAACCCAGTGCAGTGCATTCCACACAATGCGTATTTTAATCCCAAAAATCGCAACTGGAAATCATTTGGTAGGGTTTCAAATGTTTTACCACATTTTAGCTCCTATTGTCTCTTTGCAAGATGCTTTTCACAGTGAAACACATGCCTGCCATACTCAGAAATGGCTGTGGATTGACCAACACTGGTGCATGAGAAGATGCCAAGAAGCAGTGTTCATTTTGCAGCACTTGGTAGCTAGCTGAAATTCCCCAGAGTATTTGACAGAAATTTACACATACCTTTCTTCTTTAATCTTTAATCCAGCTACTGTAGAATGCAGCTGCTAAACTGGTAAGCGTGGCAGCCCTATGGAGCCATCTGACATCAGGCTTGAAAGCACACAGTGACCGTCAGTGTGGGCCCAATTCAAGGTGTTAGTACTAACATATAAGACCCTACATGGCTTGGACCCAGTACCTAAAGGTGTTTTTCCCAGTATCATCCATCTTGGATCCTAGAATCAGTAGGTGAGGGCTTGTTGGTACTGTTACCGCACGGAGCTGCCTGTTTAACAATGATCTGTGACAGGGGCTTGTCAGGGGTGGTTCCCCATTTGCAGACTGCCTTTCTAAGTGAGGAGTATCTCTCATTACTGATTTGCAGGATAATTTTTTATTTAAAAAATCCCAATTGACCCTGCCATTTGATGGCTGAAAGACATCCAGGTAACCCTGAGATTGCTGATGGGAGTATATTTTTAACTTCTTTAATAGAATGTTCATAAACTATTTTTAGTTTTCTTTTGTAATGTTTTCTTAGTGCTTGGTATGCTGCCCTGGGCTCCTTCGGGAGGATGGGCAGAATATAAAATAAATAACAGTGACAACTGTTGCCAGCTTTGTCAGGTTTTGTACTGCACGTAGAACACAGCACCTGCTAGTCTGGTCATCTTTTGGCATCTTTTCCTACACCTCAGTCAGCAAAGTGCCTTAGTGAAGGCATGGAGAGGAGTTGAAAATGTTTGTCCACAAAGTTTGTTTCTCAGTGATCCTGGGGGCACAGACTTCCTTCCGAGTAACAGTGACTTTGGTGACATGTTGGTGAAAGGGGCCCACACCATAATGCTGGCAGTCCTTCCGGGTGTAGTAACTTCAGCAACTGGGCTTTTCCACAGCCACTTCTCCTCAGCAGGAACTGTGGCACTTTTGCAATGACGGCCATTGCTCTCTCAAGGCACAGCCTTCTCAATGCCACATCCTCCCACACCCTGGGTATGAGATAGTTATTTAGCCTATTAGTAGGGAAGTGGAGGACCTAACAAGCTCTCTCAGTTGCCCTGTGATGTTTAGATAAAGGGGGATATAGAAAACAAATAAACAAATGGGGCCCCCTTCTTCCCCCACCCTCTTAACCTAGATGGGGCTGTCATTTCTTAAACGGGTCACAGATTGTATTGGAGAAATACAATTTATTTAACCAAATAGTAGCAAACAGAAGTGTTCAGGGTAAACAAAAGAAAATAGACAAGCGCGCCCCATATAAAGAGAAGGCCTTGTAGTATAGTTTAAAAAAACACCAAAAAACAGTAATGAATTCTAGCTGAGGCCTAGTTAAGCCTGAACTCTGCAAGATATTTCCTCATCTCTGAGAGGCCTGCTTGCGAAGTAATTATTTTGAGATCTCCCTTTTCTCTCTCCAAAGTACTGTATACTGTTTGTCAACATTGATGCGGCCTTGTCCTTGTGCGAATCCCAAACTAATTCCTCCCCACAACTCAGGCTGTAAAGCATCAAGGTATATTTCCAATGGCTTGATGTAGGTGAACTGTAGGTGACCTCAGACTACTTAAATCATTTTGCAGTTTGAACAAAGGGAGCTGGCACTGAATATTTACTGGATGCTAGTGGGCATTTATGTCTTTTTAAAATCTTTCCCCCTTGCAATCTCATCTCACTAGCTCCCTCAGTCTTAGTTACTTCTCTTTCCTCACACCCAACTCTAGCTCTAACCCTGATAATTCTCCCCTCAGAGTGTATATAACTCCTCCTTTGCAGGGGTGCCATTTCAGGGTGGGAAGAAGAGGGCTTATCTTGCAAGGAAAGGAAACAGGTTACTCCAAACTACCGTATTTTTTGCACCATAACACTCACTTTTTTCCTCCTAGAAAGTAAGGGGAAACGTCTGTGCGTGTTATGGAGCGAATGCCTGCGGGTGGTGGGGATCTGCTGCAGTCGTGAGCAGAGGATCCATGGTTCCCCTTCCTTCCCTCCTCCGTGGTTACAAAGCATGGATCCACATGGATCCTCAGGATTTTTGCATTGGGCTACTCCAAACTCACTGTCAGATCACATGTCTGTGGCCACAGCATGAACCACAAAAATCATATATCCACTATTTCGTTTAGAATATATTTTTTCTTGTTTTCCTCCTCTAAAAACTACGTGCGTGCTATGGTCTGGTGCGTGTTATAGAGCGAAAAATACGGTAGTTTTCTTCAGGAAAGCAGAAAGACAATTGTAATAAATGGGCTTCAGGTTGATAAATGGCTTGAGTGCAGCACAATAAGCAGAATCACCTGGATTCTAACAGCTGAAGCAGTAACTGTGGTGACAAAGCTATAACCGGGTATTTTATTAATTGTATTTAAAGTTCTGAAACATTTATATACATGTGGTGTGGTGCAACTTCCCAAACTTATCCTACATTTAAATATCCAGGAGATAGTGAGCTGCATTGACATTTAATTTCACTACTCAAAGGAATGGCTGCCACATGCACACAAATACACAAATCTTCCTGCAGTGGCTTCACTATTTCATATGTTAATCTTAATTCATCTAGAGTAAGGACTTGTTGACATTATGAATGTTGTTGTTGCTTCTTGCATTTTGCAGAGTATAATGGACAAAATAATCCCAACTAAAGCAATGAATTATTACATGCTTGATGCCAATAGATGACCATCTGGAAGCAATCATTAGGTGGTGCAATTTAAAGTTGTTTCCATGTGGCATCTACAATGAACAGGTTTATCTTCCTTCACAGATGTAAGGAATTAGATTAAAAGAGAGTGTTGGGCTGTGCTCATGACCTGGTTGCCAGAGGAACTAGGGAACACAGCCCAAAGAGATTGTCTTCACAGCTGCCATATATAAGCAGTCAAAGATTAATAACTGTTGGAATCTAAAGAGCTACAGTAGGTGAGGTTCTAAAGAGTTAGTTACTTTTTATTTCGCAAGTAGTTATAATCCTGACAACAGCATTAGTAACTATTCCACTGTCTTCAGTTTTTCTATTGGTATGTTCCAAAGCTACACTCAACCAACTTCCAAGTCCTAACATTGCCTTGTTTCCCTAAACCAGGCCTAGTTGAATGGATTTTTCTGGAAACTGGTTTCTGAAAAAGAAAATGCAGTTTCACAAAAGATACCCAGTACAGCAGATCTAAAAGGACATTGATTACAGGTAAGAATGTCTACTTCTTGTATTCAAACCTCTTCTTCATTGTAATAGTACTGATAGTGCACCATTGATATGCATGGCACTCACTGTACAGGTCCCTGTCCCACACAGTTTACAATCTAAATTTTAACAAAGGGGAAGAAAAGTGAAATAAACGTGCCTCTAACAGGGAAAGAATATACGCTAATGCATTTTTCACATCCTGGGACTTAGCTTATATATGGAATAAGTACTAAACAATCCTTTAGATACATATCCTTTAGATATGCCACTTCACTATAATTATATGAAAACAATGTCTTTTAAAAACTAATAATATGGTTGCCTTTTTAGTAGATTGATGATGCTTTCTTGTGTTCAAATGCTTCACTTTGGATGATTTGGAATGAGAAAATCTGTTGCTGTGCTCCATTTTGTTTTGTTTTTACAACCCCAGTATGTTTCAGATTATTGAACTGTAGCATATGTGTGTGTGTGTGTGTGTGTGTGTGTGTGTGTGTGTGTGTGTGTCTGTGTGTGTATCTATGAATGTGTATATTTTTGTAGCTTCAAGAAAACCAACATTGGGAATAATTGCCTAAATTTAAATGAGTCTATCATGACTTGAAATAAACAGTTTTAGTAGACCAGTTCGAATTCTGCATTTGTTAGGTACTGCAATATTTGGGAAAAATAGTGAGGGTAATTTATGTTGTCCTCTCCCCTCCCCCCACAAAAAAATATATTGGAGGGCTTGGGATATGAATCTGATTCCAGGCTCTGGAATCTGATGGAATCTGATTTGGAATCTGATTCCAAAGACCTAATGTCACTCTGTTTTCCCAAAATCTGCCTTATGAAAATATTTACCATCTGTTCCTAGTTGTTAGTATCAGTTGTACTGATTGACTATTGTTTGCTTTTGGCTCTCATGGACAACATCTCCAAACTGGATGACAAAAAATAGTGGGGAGAGGGGATAGCACAAATTAAAATGGCAAGTTCTCCATTCACAACCAGTGCCTCATTAAACTATGTGTAATGAAACACTGATGTCATGACAGTCCGGTTCTGCAGTTTGTGAGTCCAAAGACTGAAAATATTTTGAAAGGGCATGTGAATAAAAACTAAGAATTCTGTTTAAGAATTTTTCTCATTATAAGCTAGTACAAATGCTGGACTACAAAACACAGTAGATTTTTCCATCTCTTCATCCAACAACTAGTGATGGCTGGGAGTGGGAGGAACAAAATATCTCGTCTTAGTTCAGTGCATGCTTCTTGGACACGTGGAATACTGCTGTGGTCTGCTGTGTCAACCTCTCCTGCACAGTTGAAGCCCACCATAATTGAGGATGAAAGAAATGGAGGTGGGGGTGGAGGTTGAGAGCCAGCCAAATTCATGATAGGTTGGCTATTGTAGATATGCTGGTACTAGGTAGGGAAAATACTGTAATTCAGAACTCAAAATAAAAATAAATGAAGTGTTACTTGTGGAGTTGCATACCATTAGACTACAGCTTCAAAATGGAGTTGTTTGTTTGTATCGTTTGGTACTATTAGGTTGAAATCCTAAACATGCTTACAGTAGGCTTTACTTCCTAATAAGCATCATATGATTCTGCAGTTCTGGAATCAGCTGTCTCAACAGACTTTTAATAGACTTTACTGGTTAAATTAATCAATACTAAATATACATTAATTATATCTCATATGCCACTGAATAAAGATGCATAATATATGACGTAGGTTTTTCCTTTAGCAGTTACTTTTTCTCCTTCAGCCATGAAATATGAAACTCTTTGTTATATAAAACATAGCTCTTGCAAACTTTTCCTTTAGACTTGCCAGTGATAGATGATTTAATTCTTTCCAGCTACACAGTTGGTTGAGTAGAAATTTCTTGCATGTGGTACATAAAAAGGACAGATGGGTATGATCCTAGAGATGTGTGTCCCTTTTTACAACTGCTATGAATATTTTTAATACAAGTTCAAGGGATGCATTAATTACGTGAAGTTGTATCTTGTGATGTGCCATTTGTAATTTACTTTGTTAGACATTCATTTATACTTGAGTTGTAGTTCTTTTGCACCTTTGAATGACCATTCCTCATCAACAGATTCTTTAGACACAGCTGTTATTGTTTAAAAAAGTTGCAAAACTGATAAACCTTGCTGTGCTCCATCCTCAATTCTTTTCTGTTGGACTTTCAAGAATACCATGGAGTTCACATAGACAGTACTGCAACCCCCCCCTCCCCAAATAAAACCCCAGGAACTGTCGGTGTTGCCTTGAATTGGTCTTATGCATTATAGTTTCCATTTCTTGCATACAGTCATATAGCAAAGATTTTCTATATTTCTGACACAGATTCTTAATAGTGCTTATCAGCATATTTTATATATGGGCAATTCCAAACAGATGGGAATATTGGTTTACTGTGGCAACTTAAAGGCAGACTAACTAAGACTTTCATAGGCAACAGCATGGTATAAGTTCGCCGACTGGAAAACCTTATGCTTTTATGTATTCTCTTATTCCCCTCCCCAACACAAAAAGCTTGGGCTTGGGTCATTATGTATATCTGCACTTATCTTATTATCTAGTGCAGGATTGACTTTGGGTGGCAAGGTCATCAGTTGCTTCTGTTATAGCCCAATAATCTTGGACAGGATGATGATTGGCTTCTCAGAGTAGGGCTAGGAAACATGTAAAATTTGCAATTGGAGAGAAAGGAACATGGTCAAGTGTTCAAAACTAAATATATGACAAAAACTAATTAGTGAGTCACATTTCTTTATTAACATCATCATCATCATCATCATCATCATCATGTAAAGTTGTTTGACTAAAAATAAATTACTATGGCTACTGTGGCTCTAGTTATGTATAATTTAGCATGCAAATCCACTTTTTCGGAAGGTAAAGATAACATTCACCAAGTAGAGATGAACAGATTTGTCAATTTCAGTTCCCCTTTCTCATTTTTCCAATTTTAAGTTCAGTTTGCTCCATTTCTATGCCAGTTTACATTTGGTTAAATAAAGCCTGCACAAAAATTTTAACACAGTTCATGTGCCTTTCTCCTAACAAAAGCATTTTTTGCAGATACCTTTGTGCACTTTTTCAATAAACAGATACCTAAGGCTGCTTCTGCTGTTCATGTGCAATGATAAATGAAATGTGTTTGTAGCAATGTTAGTGTTTTAGGGATGTACATAACTTGCATTCATCTTCTTATAACTCTTCCCTCAAAATTCCTTAGATGGTTTGCTAAGGTATACCTTGAAATTTCTTACAGGTGGAATTTACTGGCAATTCTGCTGGTATATCATGAGGGAATAGTACAAGTAAGAAAGTACATGTGTAAACATCACTGCTGGTGGAAAGCCATGCTCCATGCATATGGAGCTTCTGAACTGTACGATTTTACATGTTCATTTTTGTAAAGAGAGATATTTGGCCCCATTTTAACAAAATGAAGCAGTGTTGCAGCTGTTAATGTATTCAATATAACAATTTCCGTGAATGAAGAGGGTGGGAAAGAGATTTCTGCTACTTATTTTTATCATTAAACATGCTATCTGGCATCTACAGCAATGCTCTTTTTTTAAAAAAAGATAACAAAATAAGCAATTATATATTCTACTTTTGCTTAATATGTGAAATGTACTACACCTGAATCTGCAGGCCAATATGTATGGAATGTGTAGAAGAAGAATGCCAAAACTTTTATGGAACCCACAGCTAGATAATACATTTGAGTAGCAAAAGCATCGTCTTAATAGAGTGACATTTAAAATAATTGGGACAGGTTGGCTGTACCAAGAGAGTATTTTTGAGAAAGAAAAAGAAGTGATGAAACACTAACAATTAAAAATGAAACTCCATGGGGGGACAGTATAATTGATCGAAAAACACCTGGAAGTTCTAACAAGTTTAATGCCAGCAAAACCTGTTTACTAACGCAATAATGGTAACACTAAGCTGTCCTTAAATAACAACAGCATGAAGAAGTCGGAAGCATAACATGAGGTCAAATGGAATTGGAGGTTTGATTTCATTGCCATCCAGGCGGAGATAGCGGAGTCGTGGTAAGTTCCTCTCATAGACATGATCCCCTGGGATAGGAACTGGACATATTTGGGTTCCATTAATACCTAAAACAAAACAAAAAAAACAAGAGCATAAGAAAAGTGCATTGTCTTCCCTCCCCACAAAAAACTCAGGACTTGTTGGGAAGCCAGAGGAATCACAGTTCAGCATTTGTTTCCTTCTATTTTTTTATCATGGAAGATGAGAAAGGTAACAGAGCAAATTAAAAGTGGCTGCTGCTCAGCAGTCACCAGGTGATGAGGCTGCATGTTCCCTCTTAAAACTTGGCAGTATCTTCTTCACTCCTTGTGAGGAGTGGTGTCTAGTAATTTTGATTTGCCTGGGATTTGAATTTTCTAGCGTGATTGTTCTTTGAACTAGAAGCTCTTAGTGTTTCCCATCTGTAAAATGGGTAAATTGTTTTTGGAAGCAATGCCTAATTCTGTTGTGCTATCATGCATGTGTGTGATAATGTGACTCGATGTGTGATTTGTGGTTAGGCTCAGCAGCTTATGGTATGCACTAATTGTTTCTGTTTTATTCTTGTGATGCAATTGCAGTCTGGTTTGCATTAAGCTGATCTTTGTTGGCCCAGTATCATGCTTGGATGGTTTGCTTAATGGTAAGGGATCTGCCAGCACACAAAATATCTGTGTACCTTAGGTCAGGGATGGGGACCATTCTTCTGTTAACATGTATATTCCTTCTGCGGCAATCTATTGTGAATTATAAATCATTATTGTGTGAATCCATCACTTTGGCTGTTCCCCCAGCTCAATCCTCCTCCTCCTCCTCCTCCTCCTCCTCCTCCTCCTCCTCCTCTGCCTGTGGGCTTCCATAGCCACATGAAGTTAAGCTATGGGCCACAGAGTCTGCAATATTGTCTTAGGTGAACAGAGCATTCTGTGCGCTCCTCCAGTTAATAAGACCCATCTACATTTTACTTTGGATCTCTAACCATGTGCCAGAATTTGTTTTGTGGGAGCTGACCCTATGTTCCTTGTACTTGATCCTCATCCCATTATATGTGATCACAAATATGAATGCTGAATGCCAAAAGTCCAGAAGTGAATGCTTCCATTTTCGAACACGCCTTGGAAGTCGAATGGCTTCCGAGGCGCATTTCTCAAGTTTCCCCATTGAATTTGCTGACAGACCTTTGGTCCTCGGTTTTCAAACATTTTGGAAGTCAAGCAGACCTCCGGAATGGATTATGTTCAAAAACTGAGGTTAGACAAAATAGGGCTTAGTTGCTAGCCAATGGAATTTACAGTTTAGATCAAATGTACAGAACTTGTATTTCTGAAATACAATAGGTTCTCATTAAACCAGAGCTGGTCTGGTTTCTTGTTGCTTCTAATACCTATACACTTTTGGACTTGTGAATGCATGTGTGTGTGCATGGGCATGTGTGCACAGCATTGCAACATTTGTGCTATAAATGGGAGGAGTGTGGGGGAGGGGTATTTCTGTGGAAAAACTTCTGTCTGAGATTGCTGATATGCACTTACTGTCGATCCTGTTGTTGTCAAGATAAAGGTGCTCGAGGTGAACATTGATAGATGGGATTTTGGTGAGTTCATTGTAAGATAGCTGAAGGTCAAGAAGAGATGAAATGTTAAATATTTTGGATGGTAGACCTTTATCGGTTAACTTATTGTTGTTCAGTCGAAGGAAAATCAGTTTGAGCGTTGCATCAAAATAATTTTCTGGTATTGCTTCAATGGAGTTATTGTCCAAAAACAGCTGTATTACATTAGCTGGAGGGGTTGGTGGCATTTTTGTAAGTGAATTTTGAGCGATGTTGAGTAGCATGAGGCTGTTAAGTCCTTGGAAGGTGTCACTTGAGAGAGTACTGTCCAACAGTTTGTTTTGATGTAGATCTAGCGCAGTGAGGTTTTCCATATTGTTGAAGACCCCTGCGGGGATTGTAGTGATTTTGTTTCTTGCCAAACGCAGCTGCTCTAAACTCAATGGCAATGGAGCAGGCACTTCTTCTAACTCATTATTCTCAAGAAATAAGTAGAGCAGATTTTTCAAGTTGCCGAATACACCCTTTTCAATTCCATTGCTGGTAATTTTGTTGTTGTTCAGATTTATCCATTTTAGTTGTGTGGCATTCACAAAAGATTTCCCTGTAACTGTTTCAATGAGATTGTTTTGGAGGTAGAGATACCAGATTCTTGCTGGGATGGCTGGAATTTCTTTAAGTTCCTTGCTATCACAGTATAAGGCATTTGGGAAACTAGGAGGGCAGAAGCATTCTTGTGGACACTCAAAGCTGTAGAAGGACCAGTCATATGTATCAGGCTGATCATACATTGGCCTGATATTACGAGTCCACACGGTATTGGCCAAGAAGACTACCAATAGTCTGGAATACAATTGCACATTCATAGTTAACCTTGGAGAAAAGGGGAAAATAGTTATAAGAAAGTATACATCTCCACAGTATCTTTTTCTGAAAGCAACAATGTGCATTCCTTTATAAGGGTGAAATGCTGTCTTGCATGGTGTCACAACTTTTTTCAAGAGAAAAAAGAGGGGTCGTATCTTAAATACAGGGGGAACTACAAGCTATGACTCTAAGTATAGTATGTTTCAATCTGGATATCATTCCTTTTCCAGATACGGTAAGTGTGCAGACATTCAGTTCATGTTTGCTTATCTTGCTTCTTGCTTCTCTTACTGAATTTCAGTAACATTTAAAAACTTGCCTTTTTCCAAACTAGGGAGAATATTTCATGTGCAAAAATCACCCAAAACATCACCCAAAACAGAGGTGGCATACAGTAACTGACATAATTGCCTTTATTGACTGCTATCCAGTCCTAGTTTGGTCCTCCATGAAGAAACTCACATCTTCTTTTGTACTCCTAGATGAGAAGGCATATGGATCTGATTTTCTAGGCCTGGTTCTCATCACACACAAGAAAAAGATCAAAGAATATTTTAACAGCTGCTTGCTGGGTATGTTCCCTAGAAGTCTAGAGAGCTGTGTTTGAAAATCTACTCCTCTTCTTCAATCGTTCCCCTGTGCCCCAAATTATTGGCTTTCCTCTTTAAAATGTAAATTACTTAGGAAACAAATTCTCCCTAGAACTTCACTTTTATTGCTTGGCCACGTATTCAGATTTCTTTGTCGAGTTCTTTTTTTAAATTGTTCACATTAAAACTAACATTTTCCATAGCTATACATTAAAAAAACCTAACATGCAAGCCAAGTTACTACAATGCAGTAGTAATTATACAGCAACAATGCATCTCAAATTTTTATGTCTGTCTTGGTTTTCTAAAAGTAAGTATATATAACATTTCAAAAGAAAGAAAGAAAATAAGCTGGATACACTGGTGCAGAAAGGTTGGGGTGTTTTTTTTTTGGAGGGGGGTGGTTTTTTTTGGGGGGGGGAAGTATTAAAGAAAATCATAAGTCATAAGGATCACTAAATCAAAGGGAAAACCAATGCCTTACATGGGTTTTGGTTGTTGTTTTTTAAACGGCTGCTTCTCTAAAGTTCAACAGCTGAAAAGAGCTAACAGGCTTTGAAACTGCTGTCCACAAAATAGCAGAATACTGCCTGAAGTAATAAAATAGAAAGAAGAGCAAGTGAGAAAAACTAAATTATTTACAGAGAATGTCATACTGGATTTAGCACAATGTCTCTGACATCTTTCTCTTACAAGAAATATATACCAACATTGTTATAATGAGTAACTGAAATATTTTACCTTGTACAGGTTAGGTGATGATTTCTGGTGGCTGTTGGAAATCATTTAAGTACAAAAGTCTTTGTTTCCTTTTAACATTATTTGAAGTCTGAGCTCTTGTAAATTTGTAGCATAAAACCCTGAATATACAGCAGTAATCCCCAGACACATTACCCAAGACACCTAACATTCTGTTGTTTCTAATTTGACAATGCTTGAGAATCTAGCTTACCTCAGCTTTCTTGGATTCTCTTCTGTTCTTCCTATTGGTCACTGCGGTTAGACTGTAAGAGGTTGACTCAGGCAACACGCAGTGTTTTATGAATACAGCCTAATATATACGCATCAATGACTACAATTGTTAACCCTTAAAATAGCTATGCACCTCAGCACCTTCATGCTAAAGTACAGGAAATCCTGGCTTTCACATCAAACAGTTGCAGCCCTTAAGGTCATTCCCAGAGATGTTAAACTCAAGTTTTAAAAGAATGAATAGACTGGGCAAAAGGAATCATTACTAACTATATAATAAAATGTTAATAAATCATTTTCATCTTAATTAGGGAACAAAGCATTAAAACTGTGCCATCTGTTCCTGCGGAAACCTTTTATTTGATTATGATCAAAAACAGATGCAGGAATGTTTTTAAAGATATGATTCTTGATTAGGAAAAGTAAGTAAGATTATTTGCTAAGAAATTCTTTGATACTCTTAGAATAGTTTGATATAATTTGATGCTTATTCTGCATATGTTATTTTTGAATAACTTTCCAGAAATGGAACTGACTTTCTGCCACCTGATCTAATTTTTATGCTAATTAGTTTTAAGCATAAAGAGTTTTGCAGTGAGAAGCATATGTATTCCACATGATACTAAAAATAATAATAAAACAAAACATAAAGTAGTCTCCAGATTTGAAGAATCTTTTTGCTTTGAAATTGGCTGATGCAACTACTAAAGTGGGGTAGGAGGTAGTTATTGGAATGGTGCCTCTATGCCGTTACTGATGTGCAACAACTTGCCTGTAGTGTTCTGTTGGGGCACAAGCCACAAATATCAATAGCACTAGCATGGTACTCGCCCAACCTCCACCTGCCACTTGCAAGGGCGCATGTTTCTCTCTACTGTTGGCCAATAACCACAGGCAGATTTTAAGACAAAAACATTACCAATCTAACAACCTGACTACTTGTCATTTGCAAAACAATTTTTTTTAAAGAAACTGTGAAATATTGACAGCAAAATGTGTTTCTGCTTAATTAGTAGGACTTGGGGTGGAATTCAGTGTTGGGCTAGTACAAGTGTTCTGCCTGTACAAGCCTAGCAGCTTACTACCCCTCTCTACCCACTGCATGTTATTCTGGGGGTTCTCTTAATCCCACTCGCCCCCAACCCAATTTTGATAGTGGGGCGGGGAGGGCCCTGGGGAGGAAACATTCTTGCTTAGGGTTTTCAGTGCTGGGGCATGTTGGGTCAATCCCTCCATTGGTATCTAAGTGCTGTAATGCAAAACAGTTTTAGTTCTAACTCTGTGGCGTTTTGGTTTAATAAAACATATAATTACAATGTTTTATAGCATTGAGTTCTTCATTCCTCAAAATAGTAGTGATAAAGGAAGAAAGCCAATGACAGGTGTCATAGAAACACTTTCAATGTGATCCATGGAAAGTGTGCTTAATTCTACAATCAGGAACATGCTTACTTGAATTCCGTACCTACTGTGTGATTTAATTTCCCAGGTGAGGGTGTTGGGACTTGATTGTTCCCATTAGAACTTGTAGAATGTTTGTGCATCTTTAAACGGACAAGTTCCATGGATTCTAGTGGGGTTAAACTATGCCTAATCTGTCTTGTATTCAGTAATCTTTCTTGTATTCAATTTAATCAGAGAATCATAGAATTGTAGAGTTGAAAGGGGATCCTAAGGGTCCTCTAGTCCAACCCCCTGCAATGCAGAAATCTAGACTAAAGCACCCATGACAGAATGCCATCCAACCTTTACTTAGGGTCTCCGGAACCTTGATCATCTTGCTCACCCTCCTCTGCACAGGTTCCAGCTTGTCAATATCCTTCTTAAATTGTGGCACCCAGAACTGGACACAATACTTCAGGTGTGGCCTGACCAAAGCAGAGTAGAGTGGTGCTATTATTTCCCTTGATCTGGACACTATACTTCTGTTGATGCATTAGAATAGTATTAGGGTGTGTGTGTTTTTTGCTGCTGCATCATACTGTTGACTAATGTTGAACTTTTTTAAAAAATCAAACGCAAAATGTGATCATAATATGGTGCCTTGCATGCTCTGTATAGAGAAACATTCATATTTGCACCAAGGAATTGTGCAAGCTTTTGCAAGGATGCAGAGTAAGAGCCAGAATAAATGTGACATTAGGAACACAGGAAGTGCCATATATCTGTTGGCCCATCTAGCTCAGTATTGCCTACACTGATTGGCAGGGGTAAAGAGAGTTTCAGACAAGAATCTTTCCCAGCCCTATGTGGAGATGCCACAAACTGAACCGGGGGCTTTCTACATGCAAAGCCATGATCTCTTCCACTGACCTGCAACCACTTCCTAAAATGCATATTTGAATTTAACATGCACTACTTCTTCATTTTAAATGCAAATAGCTACTAGGTGGTAGTGTGTGATCACTGTCAAAATTGTAGCATGTACGGAGGGAATTTTTTAACCCTTTCTTGTTTTGGTCTTGAATAAAATAGCTACTCTGAAGCTTTTATTGCGTTGGCATGAAATTCCCCATAGGTGCTTAAAGGGACTTTCCTCCTAATAGAAATACGGTTTCGGAATAGTGATCTTTCTCATAGCTGCAGCAGGGGAGGAAACAGTTAAATTCTCACTTCACACATGCTGTGATGCATCCTCTCAACAATGGGTTCTGTTTGCATTTTTAAAATTTGCACATAAATGCAAATACACTTTTACTGTCATGTCTGGTTTGACCTCTATTGGTTCATTTAACACAGGTTTGTCAATTGTCTATTTTACATACCCTCATCTTTATTAATAAGGAACACTCTAGTTTGAGCCTCTGGGCATATTCTTGAGGGAGGATGCAGCGTTGCAGTCTAAGTGTGAAGTCACAATGGAAAAAAACAATGGAAGTTTGCAGAATATGTACAGACACCTAAGATGTTATGTATTGTGATAGCTACACATTCCGGACAAATATACATTCATTTAGTGCTATATAAACATTTCTAATAAGCAGACTATTGTTAACAAATGACTGCTCCCCACATCAAATGGGGGTGCCTTCTATGTGGTCATGTGCAGCCCCCCGGATCCCAGTGCGACTCCTGGTAGTTCGGGCTGGCTTCATCCTCCCCAGGCTGGATACCTGGAGGTCTCTGCCTAGCTCAGCCAATCTAGATTAGGGTCATCATGTAAGGGGGAAAAAACCCTTTTTCTGTAGAAATATGGGATGCCTTAATAACATATGTATCAGAAACTGACTGTGACATGCACATTTTTTTGTGTTGTTAGATTAGAAAAACTAAATAAAAGCATTTATTAGAAGGAAGCAGCAGAGCAGAATGTTCCAAGGACAACCAATCAATATGCCCAAACTTCTACAAAAGAACTCAGTCAAGGAAAGAATTGGAGGTGAATGCTACCACTTCAGATGTATTTGGAGCACATCCAAACAAGTTTAATCTGAAGTGGTCTGAACCAAAGCAGCTGGAACTGCTTTGGAGATTTGGAAAGGTTTTCATTTTTAGGGTCCTTCCTCAGGTTGATACTTTGATGTAGCTCCCACATTTGACTCTGTGTTATCCATAAAGTGAAAATGCGAGGTAGAGTGGGTGGGGTGTAATTCTGTGACAGACAGCTTTATTTTCCAACCAGGGAATGACTTTACCAGGGCTATTTTTTTCGCTTCCTGTCACAGTGCTTTTGGAAGGATGTAAATGACCATGATAAAATACTCTTCTTTGCTCTTTGTGACTGGCAGCAGCAGTGCACAGGGTGTTTGTGGCTCCCGGAACTGTTTTGAGAACCATGACGTACAAAAAATAAGATATTTTAGTGCCTCTTTTGCCATTAGTATCACATTAAACACCATTAAGCATAGTATTTTATTTTTAGTACATCTGCTTTGCTAGAGAAAAAGTAGCTTAAGTAACTTTTCCTTACACTGAATTAGGTCTCACTCAGTAGGTGATTTTCCTGCCATCCTATTTGAGATTTGCTTTAAAAAACTACAACCTAGAGATGCCAGGATTCAACCAGGGACCTTTGCATGCCAAACATGTGCTCTACCATTGAGCTGCAACTCCTCTACTACCAATTTGAAGGGTAACATCAACAGGCAGGAATGAAAAATAAATTAGAAACACAGTTGTATAGAAACTTTAGCTATTGTTTAGCTATTGTTTTATCAATTTGGCTGTGATATTGACCAGCTTTCTGGGGGAAAAATTATTCATTGTTATTCTAAATGAAATACCAAATCTGGTTTGAATTTGTGCTTTTATGGGTTTGTCTAGTACTTGTATCTAGCAGATGGATTATTTAGAGGAAAATGAAGCCACGAGGCTCTTTTACAGAGTCTGGGACTTGAGAGTTCTAAAAAAATGTATCCATCATACACTAGAAACAGAGGCAGCGGGTATTAAAAGTGTGGATTCTACATCATCATCATCATCATCATCATCATCATCATCACCACTTAATTATTAAAAATATCTCTAAGCAGGGTACAAAAAACTGAAGCAACAACAGACAGCTTAAACAAAATATTAAAAAAATACAATTACCTATAAAATGTACATCCACAAAAGTCTCACAACAAGGAGTTCATGGAAACAGCAAATATCACCCTAGTATCTCACTCTACTTGTTTTTTATGGGCAGGCCTAAGGTAGATGGTACTTCCTGAGACTGCCAACAGCTGTGTCCCCCTCAGCTGCATTCTCCACACTCTGTTCCAGGTACAGAAGATTTATTGAGTTTCCCAGGGGGTCCTAAGGATGGAGAAAGGCTCTCCCTTCACGCACAGCTCTTTCTTCACCCTCTGTTTCTTCTCCTCCTCCTCCAGATCCCATTGAAGCAGTTAAAGCACCATAACTTATTTGTGTCCACCATCCTTAAGCTCTTCCTACCTCTTCTACCAGAGGTCTGCCAACAGAAGTTCCACACATTTAGCCACAACTGCTAAATGATTCAGAGGGAGTACACTTCTGGATGCAACATACAAGTGACAAAGAGGCATCTTTGAAGGCGGGTCCATTAGGGTGAATGAGGCACTGCCCCACCAGGCTCAAGCAGCCCCCATCCTGCTGTATTTGGAGCCCAGAAGGAATTTGTCTTCAAACAGATTGGCTCCCTTTGCAGGTTTTGCCTTCCTGATAGCAATAGTCACAACTTTGGCAGAGGGAATCCTAGTCTAGCAGCAGGTGGGGGGTGAAGTGGTGTGTCACCCCAACCTCAGAAAAGGCGTGTTCACAGGGTACCCCGTTAGAGAGGTCTAGATCAGGCCTAGGCGAACTCAGCCTTCCAGATGTTTTGGGATGACAACTTCCATGATCCCTAGCTAACAGGACCAGTGGTCAGGGATGATGGGAATTGTAGTCCCAAAACACCTGGAGAGCCGAGTTTGCCTAGGCCTGGTCTAGATGGAAGTCTCTGTCCAAAAGGCAAGGCATTTGGCTGACGGTCCATAGAGCTGCCTTCAGCAGCCTGGGAGGGCCATCTGTGTAGGTTTGCATCTTGTGGATAGCCCATTAATCCTAGGCTCGACCCTGTCATGCCTCAGCCCTACACCAGGAGGCTGAGAGGGATATACACCCAATGCTTAAGTCAAATCCCACCTCCATCTGGAATTGATAAAATTGTGACCAGTTTTACAATACCAGAGTGTTTTCTTGTCCAGTTTGTTCACTTTCCTTAATGCCTTGCTCCCTGGGGAGGGTTCGCTGTGCATGGGTCTGCAATAATATTGTTATTAGTGGAATTTGCATCCTACCTTTTTTCTGGTGTTTGAGCTTCAGAGACTTGCCAGCAATCACTTAGTTGGATTGGATTTATGGCTGAACTTATTTAATTTTTTTATCACCCTTCATCCTAAAATTACAGGACAGTTCACAGCATAAAAGTACAAAATGAGAACACAAAATACATAAACAAAAACAAACCAATAATCCCCCCTTTCACCACCACCCCAATTTAAAAGGTCATAGAATGTTAATCAGCCAAAGGCCTGTTTATAGAGAAACATTTTTGCCTGGCACTTAAAGAAATGTAATGAAGGTGCCAGGCAAGTCTCTCTGAGGAGAGCATTCCACAAATGGAGCCACTGCAGAAAAGGCCCACTCTCATGTTACCTCCCCCCGGACCTCTCATGGATGAGGCTCATGAACAAGGGTCTCAGATGATGAATGCAGGGTCCAGGTCGGTTTATATGGGAAGAGGCAGTCCCTGAGGTATTGCAGTCTTGGATTGGAAGCTGTACCTATCAACAAATACCCTGCATCTAATAACCTGTGACATCACTCTCTCTCTCTCTCTCTCTCTCTCCACACACACACACACACACACACACACACACACATTTTCCTCGTATGATGTGTCTGTTGGATTTTGTTTCATATTTGAAACATCACTAGTGATACCAGTCTGGTATTTTATAATTCTGAGTTGCCTTGTTTGTTGCACCTGATCCAGGAAGGAGCACTCTGCCCTGTACTAACTGGAGGCTGCAGCAGTCAGCTCTGTGGCAGCCGAGTTCGGTTTCTAATTGATGTTTCATAATGAGTCTGTGTATAACACCAGTAATTTTGACAATCTGCTATAGTCATTCATTATTGTACACAAAAAGAACATGTTAACTTGGCTGCTGTTAATACATTTCCAGCTTTATTTAGCATGATCTATAATGGTCATTTTAAACATATTCTTGCTGTTTCTTTACCATAGTGATTCCATAATGTTTTTGTGATTCTATGCAAGTGCTTAAGAATTATGTTTCTTTTGGCTGTATAATTTAACCAGGCTGGTATATCAATCTTGACATAAATCTGTTTCATAATTTGCACAAGGACCTGGTTGCATTGTTCACAATGTAAAAAGTTGATCCTGATTAAATTATAAAGTAGATAACCAAATGTCTGCAAGTGTCTCTGTAATTTCTATTCATTTAGCAGAAATAGCTATGTCAATTGGCAATCTAGACAAATAGTAGAATATATGGTTGTCTGAATCATAGAAATCATAGAATCGTAAAGTTGGAAGGGACCAAAACCCAAACCCATACAATGCAGGAATCGCATCGAAAGAATGCTTAATATATAATTTTGTGAAATTGATGTCTCTGTTTGGCACACAGAAATTTCAGTGAGCACTGGATAACCAGGGGTAAGAAAACTGTGCCCCTCCATTGGTTACTAGACTTCAGCTCCCACCACCCGTGACCACTGGCCATGTTTGCTGCGGCGTTGGAGTTGCATGGGAGTTGGAGTCCAACAACATGTGAAGGGCCACAGGTTCCCTAACCCTGCTCTGATGTTAGAAGCATCAAGGGCAGGAAAGCTGCACTCAGTACCACACATTTATATATTTGGTCTCAGCTCTATGTCTCCTTTGGATACTATGCTCCCTGAGTACTTGAAGGACCATCTTTTACCAGCCAAACCTGCCTGTACATTGAGGTGCTATTGATGGTCCTTCTCCAGGTATCTTCACCTTTAGAAACTGTGGCACCTCTTTCTTCCCCAATGCAACATATTGCTGTACCCCAGAGCACTGGGATATGAGTATACTCCTGCAACATTACACTCAATGGGATTCCTACTATTAAGAAAGATGAGTTTGTATTATATTTTACTGCTTGACCTACTGTACAGTGGTACCTCGGGTTAAGTACTTAATTCATTCCGGAGGTCCGTACTTAACCTGAAACTGTTCTTAACCTGAAGCACCACTTTAGCTACCGGGGCCTCCTGCTGCTGCCGTGCCACCGGAGCACGATTTCTGTTCTCAACCTGAAGCAAAGTTCTTTACCTGAAGCACTATTTCTGGGTTAGCGGAGTATGTAACCTGAAGCGTATGTAACCTGAGGTACCACTGTATTCTTATGCTAACATTTTATGGGCGAGCATGAGGAAGGAGGGAGATGCAGCCCAAGATAGGCGAAGAGGTGGTAAGGGAACACCTAGCTACTTTACACGAATTCAAATTTCCAGGGCCTGATGGGCTGCACCCAAGGGTACCAAAGGAGCTTGTGCATCTTTGAGAATTCTTGGAGAACAAGTAATGTCCCTGCAGACTGGAGGAAGGCAAATGTCCCCATCTTCAAAAAGGGGGGGGGGAGACCCAAGTAACAGGTAAGTCTGATGTGACATTAGAGGTTTCAAAGTATCTGGGCCTGTTGTTTTTCAACATCTTTATAATTGACTTGGATGAAGGAATTGAGGGGATACTCATCAGTTTTGCAGATGATACCAAACTGGGAGGGGTAGTTAATGTCACAGAAGAATTGTTATAATCAGGATTCAGTATGATCTTAACAGAGTGGAGAACTGGGCCCATACTAACAAAATGAGGGTGACCAAGATGATCACGGGTCTGGAAACCAAGCCTTATGAGAAATGCTTGAGGGAGTTGGGTATGTTTAGCCTGGAGATGAGGAGACTGAGAGGAGATATAATAGACATCTTCAAATACTTAAAAGGCTGTCACATGCAAGATGGAGCAAGCTTGTTTTCTCTTGGTCTGGAGGCCAGGACTCAAACCAATGGGTTCAAGTTACAAGAAAGATTCTAGCTACTGGAAACTCTCAGAACATTCAAGAATCCATCAGATTCCGTAAGTCTCCAGGGGCAGAACATCTTAATAGTCCACCTGCACAGGTCAAGGTTGTTGCTGTGAGATAAAACCTTAGGTTATCTAACATCACACTTGAGACCACTTCCACCACTTCAGTCAAGGAAGCTGTTGGAATGCTAGGGCAGTCTCTGCATCTGGGACCTTCTTATTGTTTCTGCCATTGTTTCTGGTCTCCAGTCCAGTAAAACTTGTATAATAAAATGAATTTGTCATTGGAGTTGATTCAGAATTTCCTGCTTCTAGTGCTGCAATAAAATAGGTTTCTGCCATACAGTGTGGCTAGTCTAAATCCTCCATTCAGAACTTGTGTAGCTACATTTGAAAGTATTGACTGCAACCCTGCACACATTTGAATATGCTTATGTCCCTCTGAGGGACGCGGGTGGCGCTGTGGGTTAAACCACAGTGCCTAGGACTTGCTGATCGAAAGGTCAGCAGTTCGAATCCCCGCGACGGGGTGAGCTCCCGTTGTTCGGTCCCAGCTCCTGCCAACCTAGCAGTTCGAAAGCACCCCAAAGTGCAAGTAGATAAATAGGGACCGCTCGCCAGCGGGAAGGTAAATGGCGTTTCCGTGTGCTGCGCTGGTGCTGGCTCGCCAGCTGCGGCTTAGTCACGCTGGCCACGTGACCCGGAAGCTGTCTCCGGACAAGCGCCGGCTCCCGGCCTCTTGAGCGAGATGAGCGCGCAACCCCAGAGTTGGTCACGACTGGACCTGTTGGTCAGGGGTACCTTTACCTTTTACCTTTATGTCCCACTGATTTCCTGGGAATTCTATGAAGGTTATTATCAGAGTATCCTCTTATCCATAATTCAGCTCATTGGAATTAGATACAAGGCACATGGTAGATAAGTTTTGTTATGTTTTGTTTTTAAAAAAGAACTTTTAAAACTATGAAATACATAAAACAATTTATTTGATGGAGTTGTAGTCTTACAATAATTCAGCAAAATATAGTGTATTTTTTGGTTTGTTTTCATCTGCACTTACTGTTTTCTAAAAATGTAAACATACATTGACAATAATTTGCACTCAGTATTTTTATTTGCTATGTTTTATTTCTACAATCATGTTAAATGTAGCATGCAAATAACTGAATAACAATAATGGTGTACATGTTTGACTGTAAAGTAACAATTCAATTTTAAAGATTTAAACAAACCACACCAAAACATTTTTTACTGATTAAATATAAAATGCGTTAACAAAATAAAAACCTGGAAAATGTTGCTTTTTTTTCAATTCTTTGCATAAATCATAGTTAACTGGGGTTTTAAAATATGTTTTTGTATGTGTTATCAATTTATATAGCTATAATGATTTATTGCTTTCCTGTGTAATATAATCACAACAAGAAAGCAAATCAAAGGAATAAAAGTGGATGAGAACCTTTGATTTGAATATAGGAAAATAATGTACATATATTGGTCCAGCCCTAAAGTACTAAATACTCTATCTAGATCAGAATATGCCTGACTTCTGCAAACCTGAGTTAGGACTGCACACCTGAGTAGGACTGCACACAAGGAGTGGTGTGTGTTTATCATACATGTACAGTGCTTTTTAAAAATATCCTTTTCAAACTCAGGCTGTACTTGTCTAGAAAAGAAACATGAAAACAATTTTGTCCACAATCTATGGGGACATCCTAGCTTTACAAAACTTTGACCTCACAGATTTTCTAGAACAGAAGCATTCTTTTTAAAGGTGGCCATGCTGCTTGTTAACAAACACAATTGACATTCTGCAATACGACATTCTAGCTTTAAAGTGTGGTAAATTACGAAAATGGAGATGGCCACTGAATGAAGTAATGCACAAATCACTCCACGGTGATATCAGCAGCCATTCGGAGACAGCTGTACATTTCTTGAGGAAGATCAGATCTTGTGAGATTATTTGCATCCAAACGCAGATGTCTGACCCTTGAGTAGGCTAGCGCTCCAACAACTTTGCAAAAGCTGCTCACTGGAAATTCTGTAATATCAAAGGCACATTATTAGTAGCAGAATCATATGCAGTGGTCCCTTGGGTTAAGAACAGCTTAGTTCTGCAAACCTGGAAGTAGGTATTTTGGTTTGTGAACTTTGCCTTGGAAGCAGAACATGTTCTACTTCCTGTTGAGTGTGTTCCATTTGTAAATTGAGTCCCCCGCTGCTATGGGAAAGCACGCCTTGGTTTAAGAGCGCTTTGGTTTAAGAACGGACTTCCAGAACGGATTAAGTTCCTAAACCAAGGTACTACTGTATCCCCCAAGTGGTATTCCCTGGAATGTACCAAGATTTTGTATATTGAAACATATATTGGCTATTGGATTTGTCGTCTTTGCAATAACATCATGATTGTGGCATGTGATCATCTCATGAGTCATAGTCAAAGGGATCCATGTCTGTGTTCTTAGATTCATAGCTAATTATAAAAATAAATGAATTAACCTCTGATATTGTATTATTTTAAAATATTTTCTCTACAACACATGAGAATTATGCAATTCCTCCCCCTGCTGCATTAAATTATAATTACTATCAACAACTCAGTACCTCCTGAAATTCTTGGAATTAGTGAAGTTTGCTAACAAATACTTCAAACTGAGTGCTAGTGTATTTCATTTTGTAGATAAATTGGAAGGGGTAGCAAAGTTATTAAATGAAGATAATTATTGCAAAAGATTGTGGAAACAAACTGGTGATTAACAAATTTTGGCCATCAGAAGGTCTCCTTATAACAATTGTAAATGAAAGATTTGCACTAGATTTGAGATAAAGAGACAGGGGTAAATTTATAAAGTAGATTTTGTAATTTTACACTCGAGACCTCATGTGTGGTCCATTGTGGTCTGGAAGGTTCCCCTCAATCTTGTATGGGGTAGATTAAAGAAGTGCTCCTTTAGGGAGAGATTTGCTCAATTGAGACTGAAGGTCTCATCAGAGTTTTAGCTGGCTGGTAATGGTAACTGTAACTAATACTTCCACTCATAAATTTGGTTTTATCTTTGCATTCTTTGGCACTAGTTAAATTTCCATTGCCACTGAGGCCAAACTAGACTTGATGTAGTAGTGGTTGGTGGGGCTGCACAGGTGGGGACTGTGTTGGTTGAGCTCTTGACTTCCCCCTGCCATGCATCACTGGGCCTGCACCACGCTGAGCTCCCAGCTGCCTTGCCCCCACCCTCCACTGCCCTAGCAACCAGCAGTGATGCAAATCATTGGGAAACCAGGAGGACAATGCAGCCCCACGTGCAAAGTCCCATCAAGTGCTACTGGTTTGATGACAAATGCAGGTCTGTGTGGCTGCCACACAGTTAAAAAGCAGCAGAAGCACACTGTGATTTGGAGAGGAGAAGTAGAGGTAAAGCTGAGGTTTTTTACTTTCTCAACAGTTGTCTGGCCACTACAAAACTGATTAAGAGCTGATTAATCTGATGAAGCATACCAAAATCAGATAAAATATACCAAAATACAGATTACAGAATGGCATGAAGCAACTGAAAGCATTCAAAGTAAGGCTAATCCAATCATGTATTACTGTCCTGCAATGAGAACATCAGTCTGCCCATAAAATGTGGGGAAATGTTTGAGTAGGAACATTTATTATTATTATTCTTATTTGACTGCAAGGTGCAGATTGATGTGATACCTTTGCTTGATCTCACTGGAAACACCTGGAGATTTTAAAATGATGGCCTGTTGATGTATGGATGCATGAATATGAAAAGAACTTTCTATACAATCAACCATGGGTTGCCTTGCTGGGATGGGAGACCATTTTGCAGTGACACAAGTCCTCTCTTGTCTGTAGGTCTCGGAGGATAGTGCTTTGAGGACTTGTGTTCAACCCATTGACTGAGGTTCCACAGGGTTCAGTTTCATCCCCTTTGCATTTCAGAATCTTCGTGAAACCACTGGGAGAGACTATCTGGGGATGGGTTTTCATCAGTATGGCAATATCTTCTTTCAGTTGTATTCTGGTGAAAAGGTTCTTACAATGTACTCCAAAACAGTGGTTATGTGGAGCTAGGGTATCTTTTCTCTCTTATGTCCTGGAGCAACAGAAGACATTGTTCTTTAAACAAGTTTTTGATTCTGTTGCTGCTTAACTTACTTTATTGATTGATTGTTTTGGCTCTTTGATGCTGTTTTTAGTCTATTGTGTTTTTGAGATTACAGTATTGTGATTTTATGCTTTTTATATATATTGTAAGCTGCTTTGAGCAACTCCTTTTTGGGATACACATTTTGTATAAATAGGAATAAATAAAGCATCTGCTTCATCAGGAGCTCTTTAAAAGTGTGTCAAATATCTATCATCTAATACATTTTATATATATCAAGCACTGCACTAATAATCATGGTCAAGCTGCTATATTTAAGCTGTCAGGCCACCGTTCATAGTGGCCATGTGCAAATTTAGCAGTGTTAACAGTTACTAAGAACTGAACACTGGCTGAAGCTGGTTCCTGGTTTGGTGCTGTAGTCTAGACAAGCAGAAGACTACTGCTTAACTTCTATTCACCCAATAACCAAGAGGTTGTATAAGTTTAGTGTTTATACATTACTTTGGGTACCCATGGGCGCACATTGTTTTTCAGAGTCTTCTAGTCACCCTTTCCCAACTCTTATTCTGAAAACTAATAGCCACAAATGAAGAGGACCAATAGTGGCTGCTTGTTTCTTTACTGCCTTGCCTCTTTCCAAGTCTTCTTTTTTGCTTTTGCCAAATTGTTTTCCTTTTACTATGACTTATTACTCCAGCAAAGAAATTTCAGTGAAGCTCATCTACAGTAGGCATGTTCCTTGTGTTGATTTTTTCAAAACAAAATTTGACACCTCTTCACCCCATGCTAGTTTGATCATGCCATTAAGAATACTTTCACTGGAATAAGGATGGAAAGTGTTAGTCGCCCATTCTGTGTTATTTGAGTCCACTGTGTTATTTGAGTTCTCATGTATCTGTTGAATACCACAGTGCTCCCTTTAGGTAGTTATAGCTTTTTATTTATTACTAGTAGCAGCAATAGCAACATTACAACGACACGTTTCTTGTATATTAATGGACTTCTTTTCAAATAATTTTCACCTAGTGTTTGCTTTTTAGGCCTATTTCTGGAGTCATCACTTAGCATCCTATTCATTAGATAGGTTTTTGGTTTTTTGTGTGCAAATTCAGATCATAAATGGGTGATAGCCAACATTAGTCATAAAATAGACCAATTGAAATCAGTGGACTTAAGCTCACTGATTTCAGTGGGCTTAGTTTGAGTATGACTAATGTTGGATATCACTCAATATCATTAATTGATTTTCCCATGTCTTATGCACTGTCTACTCTGGACCAAAGTAACTAGTACTTATTGGGACTGGGTACAGCCTCCTAGCCACCTCATGACCTCAATCCATGGGTTCTGAATCAAGGAGACCCACATTGGGCTAAAATGGGGACCACCTGCCTAGCCCTGGATCTGGTCCCAAAGTAGTTGGGGGGGCCTTATGTTTAATTTGGGGTGGGTTTTGGGGTGGTGGTGGTGGTGTGTGTGTGTGTGTGTGTGTTTGTTTTAAGCCCTAATCAAACATACAGCCAGAAAGGGTGTGTGTGTTCTCTTTCCTCCCCTCCCAACAAATAGCAGGGGGTAAATTCTGTGGGTATTCCTCTGCAGGAAGCTTCTTTGGAGCCCCGTTGAAATTAATAGGAGAGCAAGCTGGTGCTCAAATGAACCCTAACAATTAGAGATGGGATTGTGCAAACAATTTTCTAAGTGAACTATGCCTACTTATGTTGCAGTAGAATGGATTTATGGTTTTCATAGATGATAGATAGATAGATGATAGATAGATAGATAGATAGATAGATAGATAGATGATAGATAGATACGTTGAAGTATATCACAATTAGAAAAGAAAGCCAAAGGGGGCTACCAATCAAAACACCAGGTTTGTTTTGAAAGCAATGCTTCCCACAAGAGATGGTACGCACCAAGTTCATGCCACATTATTAATTGAATACAGGTTATAAAGACCACCCGCTTTCTCCATCTAGTGCATGTATTATTACCATGCAGTATTGCTTAGGACAGCCAGAACTACTTTTCTGAAAGAAGAAAAACACCATTTTTGTCACCAGGTCTGTTGTTTTCCAATGTGTCACCTTCAGGCAGGTTTCATTCATCTCCTCCAGCTCTTTGCTAGGTGAGACAGAATAAATGAAACTCCTGTTTGTGATGATTACTTGAGCCAAAGTATTAAAAAGATACAACTTCTGAGAGCTGAGATTTCTGGTAATAGTAGGCAGAAGAACTATATTTGAGCTGATGAAAGATGGACAAGTATGAAGCAAAGGGAAATGCAGGAGAACTGCAGGAAAGAAATTTTGATAACTATCATGCTTTTCATTATTTGGAAAGGCTATTTATGAAGAAATAATCTATTTGTACATGTGGGTATATATTTTTACTAATGGAAAGTATACCTATTTCTGAATAAAGGCATCTTTTGATTGGTGTAGTAGAACATTTGTTCACCAGTGAATAGATTTTTTATGAAGGGAATGTCAGATCCCACTGCTCTTAATTCTAATTCTTCATATTATTATTTTTATATTTATAGTACACTATTCTCTATTTTGATACTGGTTTTGTTGGTTACAAGTTGGCATCCCAATGTGCATGTCTTGTAAAATTTTTGACATCATAAAATACACAAGTGCTGTATTTTAGCAGAACTATATTCAGGCAAGAAGGTTGGTTCTTCACTTCTGTGGTAATATAGCAGGGCTGGCCCACTATGAGGTAGTGGCTTCTGCTAAGTTCTCACGAGTTCTTGCCAAAATATAATGAGATCTTGTAAGATCTCGTGCTCTGCAAGATCTCATTGGAACCCATCCTCACTGCTGCTTTGTGGGCGCTGGCATGCAACTCAGGTAAGGGAAAGTTTGGCAGAGATAGGGCTTCAGTGGTGGAACCTTCCCATTTCTCCTCAGGTGGCAGAATGGGATGGGCCACCCCTGACCCTATAGTTACCTCTGTGAGGAAACCAATGTATGAATGCATCCTGGCAATAATATCACTCCCTGTAAGGAGTACTAAGCAGTGCAGGCAGGAGGGAGTTCCATAGGTCAAACTTAAGGACACACCTGTTATTTAGCTAACATTTCATTGTATCACCTTTACCTTTTTTCAAAAAGGGAAACATTACTCACTGTTTATCTGATTGACTTGGAGGTAGTAGTTTTCGAGATGCTCATTTACTGTTGGAATGCTCTTCAGCTGATTATAGGAGAGATCCAGCTCAACAAGGGTAGATATATTGAAAGCATTGCCTGGTATTCCAGAATCTGTCAACTTATTGTGAGATAGACGTAAATACTGAAGATCTTTAAAACCCTGGAAATACTGATCAGGAATGTTGGAAATCTGATTATTGTCAAAATATAGCATCATTAAATTAGGGGGCAGCCCCAAAGGCAGTTTAGTAATCTTATTAAAGCTCAAGTCAAGATACAAAAGTGCATTTAGGCCTTTAAAAACTCCAGAAAGTGTATCTTCAGACAGTTGGTTGTGCTGTAGGTGAATGACAGTCAGATTCACTAGTCCTTCAAATGTGTTGGGATTGATTTTTGAAATCTTGTTATGAGTGAGTTGCACGTCATCCAGAGTATTGGGAAGTGGTCCAACAGCTTCGGTTAAATTGTTGTTATTAATATGAAGTTTTTTCAAACTCTTTAGCTTGGCGAAGACTCTGCCTTTTATTTTTGAATTTTCCAGATGGTTATGATCTAGGATTAGCCACTCCAGGTCTGTTACATTATCAAAAGCTTTCTCTTCTATGCCTTCAATCATATTATGGCGGAGATACAGGTATTTAATTCCAGGAGGAATAATTGGGAGACTCTTCAGTTTAAGATTGTCACAATACATGGCTGATGGATAGCTTATAGGGCAAGTACATTCTGGTGCACAGACTGCTGTTGAGTGATCAAACATTGAAACAGCATAACCATAATCAGGCTGTGGAGCATAATACCCATCATAATCATATTGACAGAAGATGCCACTAATCAAGAAAAGGAAGAAAGGAAGAGAATTCAGATGCATCTTTGCAGTGTGTGTTGCTCCTGTTGAGGGGAGATAAAATGCATACAGTTACTTGACTGGTGATTACAAGGAAGCATATCAAAATAGTAAAAACAGAAGTTCATTTTTCTATGAAGGGGATGTATGGAAAATGAACTGACTGTATGAAAGTATAGTGAAATTTGGTGCATTGTTAATAATTATGATGGATAGAGAAATTAATATAGCTCAGAATATCTGTGTTCATATTCCAGTCAGGGATTGAGCCAGTTGGGATACTTTGGGCCTGTCAATGTTTCAGTGTAACATACCTGTCCATGTGAAGATAAAATGGGATCACCCATGTATGATGACCATGGTGCAAAGTGGAATACAGTGTCATACATTATCTGTTACAAGAACTTCTTAATACATGTCCAACATTCAACATAGATATCACTTTCACATAACCATCATGTGCTAGACCATTTTCTTGCCTCAGTAATGGACTGGATGAGAGCCAATAAACTGAAGCTCAATCCAAATAAGACTGAGGCACTGTTAGTAAGTGGTTTCCTAGACTGTATGGGTAGGAGGTGGCCTGTTCTTGATGGAATAACATTCCCTTTGAAGGAGCAGGTATGCAGCTTGCAGGTACTTCTGGATCCTTGAGGCTCAGGTGGCTTCAGTGATACAGAGTACCTTCCATCAGCTTTAGCTGGGAGCCCAGCTACGCCTCTATCTGGACAGGGATAGCCCAACTTCTGTCTATGCTCTGGTAATCTCTAGATTAGATTGCTGCAACACATTATATGTGGGGCTGCCTCTGAAGATGGAAACTTCAACTGGTGCAGAAATTAGCAGATAAATTGCTAACTGGGGCAAGAAGGTTAGAGCATATAAAGGCAATCCTGGCCCTACTGCACTGGCTGCCAATTAGTTTATGGGCCCAATTTAAAGTTCTGGTTTTGATCAGAAAGCCTTAAACGGCTTAGGACTGCGATACCTCAAGGACTGCCTCTCTCCATATGAACTGACCTGGACCTTGTGATCATCATCTGAGGCCCTTCTTCATGTCTCCTCCACAAGAGGTCCGGAGGATGGCAACATGAGAACAGGCCTTTTCTGTGGTGGCCCCTCATTTAGGAAATGCTCTTTCCAGGGAGACTTTGTTACATATATCTAGGCGCCAGGCAAATTGGCTAATTAAACAATCTATTGTCTTTTAAACTCTGTGGGGCAGGTGTTGCTGTTTTTGTTTGTTACTATGGTGGGTATTGGGACATGGGTGGCACTGTGGGTTAAACCACAGAGCCTAGGACTTGCCGATCAGAAGGTCGGCGGTTCGAATCCCTGTGACGGGGTGAGCTCCCGTTGCTCGGTCCCTGCTCCTGCCAACCTAGCAGTTCGAAAGCATGTCCAAGTGCAAGTAGATAAATAGGTACCGCTCCGGCGGGAAGGTAAACGGCCTTTCCCTGCGCTGCTCTGGTTCTCCAGAAGCGGCTTAGTCATGCTGGCCACATGACCTGGAAGCTGTACTCGGCCAATAAAGCGAGATGAGCGCCGCAACCCCAGAGTCGGTCACGACTGGACCTAATGGTCAGGGGTCCCTTTACCTTTACCTTATGGTGGGTATTTATGTGCTTTTAGATTGCAGACTTCCCTGTAATCCTTGCATGAAGGGTGTTACATAAATTTAATAAATAATATGTTATGAACAAACACTTTGGCATGCATTCATGTTGTTGGATCAGACTTTATTGGGGGGTGCATGTATATTTGTAATATTTGTAATAATTTCACTAGGAAATCAGAAAACATTAGGAAATGGATGGATAATACATATTGGAAATAGCAAGTCTTATTGTATTTTTGTTTAACATGTTTCATTTGAATATGCTGGTTAACACATGCACTAAAGCACGTTCACATACTGGATGGAACATGTGTCTTTCATGTAGTTCCTTATTTGTTACATTTTAGGTTATTATAAATATATTTGACTTCAGACTTTCCCCAAAGCAAGAGTTCTTTGTAGTAAACGTTCCTATTGTTTCATAACATACACCTTTTTAGGATACCTCCACAAAGTGGGATACTTTATTTGGGTTTGATGAGGATAGGCTACTTGAGCATTTCAGCTGTTTACCTTTGAAATTCCACAAGCAACAATTGCATCTCAAAACTTGGGAACACACTTCAGCCTGACTGTCAGTAGTATTACATTAGTGCAGGGAAAATGTAGCCAAAACGTATCTGCACAACCTCAGAGTGGAATCAACTGAAAACTTTTATGTGGTCAATTGTCAACTTAGTACTCATAGGAGCTTCTGTAAGTCCATACTGTTCTCAATGAACAAGAGTTTGTTTTGGTAGGGGTAGCCTTGGCAGAGGCATACAGGATAGGTTGACATAGAAGTGAGATAGAAATTTGGGGAAATTTAGCAGAATGAGTAGCACAGGAATTTAGGAAATCAATAAATAAATGCTGCCCAGAATATGGTCTGAAGGCAAATGAGGCTATCATCACCTTGCTGTAACTAAGCAAGTCTGGGTCTGGTCAGTGTCTGGAAGGGGGGATCATCTGGGAACCTCATGTATGCCCCTTGGGTTCTGTGATGGAAGAAAGGCAGGATATAAATGTAAGAAAAGGAATAAATGCCTCCATGGAAGCTAATCTTTGCAGTGCAGCTGCCACAGCTGCATTAGATTTGGACAGCCATAAGCAAATTTCATGTTCTCATGTTACAAGTGCATATTCTTTTGCCACTTGATTTTTTTGCCCTGGATAAATATGCCTAGCAACATCTTAATGGAATGGCTGGATCGTTTGTGTGCTGCACATGAAAATAAAAATTTAAAAACCTATTGCTTGTACTAATTACTTGTGCAGCAAAAGCTTTCTTTGCCCTAGGCAGTGATCATTCTGAAACACTGCATCCTCTCCATCCCAGAGAAATTTTAAAATATTGCCCTTGAGACCATAACATATAAATGCACCTTATTATTTAGCTGTAGCAATTTATTTTTAAAATAAAACATTTCTTTGTAGATCTTTGAGAGAACTAATAGTTGGATGTACAGAAAATGTTGGGCCTTGGTATGTATTTATGAAATATAATTTATTTATTCAGTGAATCCTTGCAAATTAGAGGTAATTAGGACCTTGGAAGTTTTGACAAGATAGAATTTGGGAAATGAAAGACATATGGATGAGATGGTTGAGTTTCCATTGGAGAAACTGGAAAATTTTCATTGATTTTAGTGAAGTTAGACAAATACTCAAACAAAAGGTTTTATATTTTAACTCCTAACCAATATATTTAAAAGATCTAGGATGGCATAGTATGTGGATGACTCCTTCAAGATTTCTCTTTAAAATTTGACTGACAGTTCATCATTGTGCTTTGTAATCCTAAGTATTACCATTTCACATGTGTGTGAATCAAGAATTGGGTCATTAGTAAACTGGTACTTTATGAACACTTCTCTGACACATATATTTGAAAATCTTCTAAAAATCTCCTTAAAATTTCTGTTGCAAGCATTACTTTGACATTTGGAATCTTCTTCCATGAAAAAAAAGAAGCCTATTACTTTGCAGTAAGCAAGCAAATTACTTGTGTGCTAGTTTTAAAAGTTTCGTTATGAAGACTCCAGAACATTTCCATGAAACAGGGAAACTAAACTGTAAACTGCTGCACACAAAACTCTCCAGCATATAATATTTTGTATAGTCTTCTTTCATGCATCATAATATTCCAATTATAGTGGAGTCAAATTAAGCATATTGATTTAAATTTTAACTCCATTTAAAAATTATTTTTTTTTAAATTTTGTTAACATAGTAATCAGTAGTTGGATATATAGAAATTTTCGTTTGCTAGGATTTACCCCCCTCTCAAAGGCTTGGTCATTTGTACTGAATGTCCCTTCTCGTAGAAGCCAAGATGTTCTACAAAGGAGTACAACAATAACCCACAAAACATGTGGAGCATTTAAAAACAAACTGTGAAGGCAACTGCACAAAAGCAACTGTATTCAGTTTGCAAATTGGCAAAGTTGTGGCATGTTCTCATTACTGCTTCCTTCAGCTGTTTGATTGTTAGTGTTAAAGCATGCGAGAGCACTTACCTTTCTGACTTGAAGCTGCTTGCTTTAATTCCCACAGCAGATTCAGTAAGGGACTGGATCAACCAATATATGCTATAAACAGTGTCAGAAGGTAACTGGCTGCCAGATCCTCTGTGATACAAGGGCTTGGGGGGAAAAATCCTAGTCACGCTGTTGTCTGAGGCTATGTCATCATGGGATTCTGGTGGTGCGGTATGTAAAACTGCTGCTGTCTAATCAAGTGCAGGTGGACACTGAATTGTAAAGGACAACCCATCTGTTCTCCCTGTGGAACAGGATGGAGATAACCCCTTTAAGGAACCTGAAAAAGTTCAAGCTGACTACCACAGCATGAACAACAGAATTATAAAAGGGGGGAAACCAATTTTAAATAATGCTCAAATTGCAAACAGACATTGCATTTTCCCTAGCTCATTTTATAGCCTTCAGCAAAATCTAACAAATAACTCTCAAACCTCAGTGTAGCCACAGTTCTTAAGCCAAATGACTCGTTCCTTTTTTCTTGTTTTTCTTTCTGCTAAGTTATGCGCAGTACATAATGGTTCAATGAAAGCCTTAGCAGTGGAAAAAATATATAACCCCAAATGGTGAAACTACATGAGGTTTTTCCTTTACTGTACTGTAAAAAAAGTATTAGTAAAAGGGAAGATTGGATATGATGGGTCTGGTTAAATATACATCTAACCATAAACCATGTACATTTTATTTTATGGCTTAACCTAAATATTTATATAACAAAAACTCTCTCTGTATATGTGTGTGTGTGTGTATATATATATATATATGTATAATGTTGAGATAGAAATAAATGGTTGGCAGCTTCCTTAAAATTATACTAACATTTGTCCCTTTTAGGACATTCAGAATCTGGAAGCAATCAACTGAGTGTTGTCTGTTTCTTATTTCATGGATACTGTTCAAGAATGCTTCCTAAAGCTTGGATGTGAACGCTATTGAAATAAGACACTGCCAAATATAATGCTATAAAAATAAGGAAAATAATTGGCAAAACTTTAAGTATTCTTTCTGGTTCCAATATATCCAGAAAATTCCCATCAAAGATCTCCATTTTGTCTGAGACACATTGCTCCTTTAAAAGAGCGATCTTTACACCAACTGGTTTGGTGAGGGACAAGGAAGACAGGGCAAAGCATGATTCTTTCAGACAATCTAGAACAAACTTATTATTGCATCAGATAATTTTTTTTTACAGATTGCAGATACCATTGGTGTGGCAAATGTATACAATAAAATGCCTCTGCTTTGTGTATTAATAGCCTAATAACTACATTTATCTTCATGGGCTCTCCCACTTTGATCTTATGCTAAGTTTACCTTGTCTGCATAGGGTGTTAGACAATCAATCACCCTAGGGCTGTCTCTAATGTTGGTCATACTTGGAGTAGACCTACTGAAATTAATAGACCTTAGGTAGTCATGTCCATTAACTTCAGTGTGTCTACTTTGAGTATGACTAACATTGGAGGCAACCCATAGTATTTAGACTTGCGTTTAGACTGTTGCTTTATATAAAGAGAAGATAATTTGAGAACAACAGTTCTTATAAATGTAGTGATCACTTAGTCTCTACTCCCGCCTGAATGCTGTATGGCTGCTTTATTGTATTTATAATGCAATAATGTTCAACTTATTCTAAAATAGTTGTGATTATTTTAACGTAGGTTAGCTGCCTTGAAGAAATGAAGAACAATAATGGTCTAATTCAATTTAAATAGATAAAAAAACAGAAGCAAAAAGTGTGTGCAGCATATCAGCCACCACATATCTCCAGGGCCTAGCTAATGAGAACTTTAATCACAAGCTTCTATCAGAAACTTTCTGACAGAACCGCAACAAACTGTTAGGTCTGCACACATCAAGCACCTGATCCTTTCCATTAGTTTGGGTGGACTTGGAATGAAGATACAAGTCAAAGCTATGGTGTGAAAAATTGCCATAAACCCAATTTTCTAGGGAATCTGCAGCAATACAGTAGTAACTCTACGTCGTTTCTGTGGACATGTCTATCACGAGTAGATAAGAGGGAAACTGGGCAACTCTAGCTTCAGTCCCAGCACCCATTGTTGACTAATGCAAGCCTTTCATCAGCTCACCATAAAGGTGAGTTAAGGAGGTGCCTGTTTGGCCATCCTGCCCACCCCGGTTGCTTTTTGGAAGGGTGAAGCCAACAGAACCCAAAATAATGAGGAGGGCAGTAATATGAGGTAGGTTGGCTACATGCCCTTCATCCTAAGGTGCTTCCAAGTACTTGCTGGTGGGTAAATGTTGTTATCTGCCCACACTACATGACCACTAAAGTTGTGACAGAATAGCAGTTAGCCAAATTAAATAACACCATTTTCAACAATAAAGAGCAGCATCACATAAACAAAACAAAATGTTTTATTGGCCAATCATAGGGCACCAAAAATTCCCACTCAGCCCCCAAGTGAGGCACATAACCAATCCCATGACCATGATTTCCAGACCAGACATAGCAAATGCAGTGGGAATCTAAGTAGTAATGGTAGCTCTCCCACTGAGGAGGACTGGACTGTTGTGAAAAGAATTATTAGATACTTAAAGGGAACCATGGATTGTATACTTAAACTGCCAACAACTATCCAAAACTTCTAGGTTACACAGATGCTCTCTGCACCAGAGACAGAAAGGATTACAAATCAACAGGTAGAGTTCTCTTTATGTTTGGAAATGGTCCTGTTTCCTGGACCAGTTGTAAACACTGATCTGTAGTTTTGTCTTCCACAAAATCAGAATACATAGCTACAACTGAGGCATGTAGACAACTGGTCTGGATTGAGCAACTGACCAACTAACTATGGGCTTTAGGTTGTTTGGGGAGAAACCTGTCCAGTTTCTCCAGGCCCTCCAGCTCTTTTGGGACTACAATTTCCATCATCCCTAGCTAACAGGACCAGTGGTAAGGGATGATGGGAATTGTAGTCCCAAAACAGCTGGAGGGCCAAGTTTGGCCATGCCTGATTTAGGAGAACCAAAGCTGTTTGAAATTAGTATCTCAAAGTGGGGTTTTATTTTTCCAAGAATCAAACACATTGGGGTAAAATACCACTATGTGTGTGAGGTAATACAAGATGGACTTGTTGAGTTGGCATATTGTCAAACCAAAGAGATGACAGCCAACATTATCATCAAGCCACTCCGAAGAGACAGTTGTGAGAACCTTCAAGCCAAGATTCTGGGTGGTTTATTAGTATTGCATGCAATTGTTTATATTTGCCTGAGAAGAGGTTTGTGGGAAATTCAGCATCATATTAACCAGCATGCTCAGCTCTAGTTAATGCATGAAGGGGTTAAAACCACAGAGTAAGCTGTTTTACTGGACTCACTAGGTTGTGCCCCCTTACCTCTGGTGATGAACAGGTAGGAAATTTATTTGTTCAGGACTTCCGGGTTGGCGCCATCGCCGAATGGCGGACTCCCTCCGAGCTCCGGAGGGAGTCTGCTCGGCAGGGGCTGGGTCCTACCGCGCCGGCGACGCGGGGACCCTTAAAAACCACGGGCACGGAGCCCGTGGACATGGGTGACTCGGCTTGCACCATTAGCGCCCTCCCGACTCGTGAAGGAGCCTTTTAAAGGCTTCGGATCGGGTGCCGGGAGCGGCGTGGTGCTTTGAGTCTTCTGCTTTCCCTGCCGAGCGCAGCCGCATGCCATTCGACGGAGAGCGCTGACTTCTTCCATTGAAAATTTGGACTATTAACAACAACCCGTGAGTAATTGGGAAACCGGGTTCAAAATTTCGGATTTGACACGAGCGGGGCGATTTAAAAGGAAGTCAATCCCCCCTCCTATTGTAAGCATTCCAAAACAAGGACTGGGTAACCAAGGTCCAAAGGGAAGTATACTCCTGATAAAAATCATTAATTTCATGATGGGAAATTATAAGAACTGTGCTGGGGGAGAAGAGTGGAGGGTGAGAAGAAAATGCAACCCCCTGGGAACCGGGGCGATTCGTGGAGCCTGGTGAAGAGAGACGGAGACTTTGACAGCTGTCAAAGTGGCTGTCAAAGCTGGAGAATATAAAGAGGACTTTGTTAAGAGGACTTTGCTGGTTAATTTTGTTACAATTTGCTATAATATGGATATAAATTGTTGGAAAATAAGTAACAATTTGACTTTTGGATTAGAGGATACAAAGTTATTACAATCCCCTAGAGGGTTTCGGGATATTACAAGAACGGTCGTAAGTGGAAAAATACTCTGGGATTCGCACAGGACTTGTTATCTTCTGGGAAAGCTGCAAAACTGAAATAGTATTTTGTCTACAGAGGTATTTACATTAAAGGAGACAATAGAATTTTCTATTGAAGAAAGGAAGGGACTGGACGTAAGTTTTTGTTCCTGAATAACAAACCTCTGCAGAGATACCAGATTTCTGAATTAGAAAGTTTTAGCAGCTGAACAGGACAAGAAACCTGAGAAAGTGAGGAATAAGAAGAACAAAGGACTGATTACGACACGGAAAGAACAACGGGAGGAGTGGTAAAGATCAAGGAAATTAAAGGCCTTTGTTAGATTGGACACTTGAAGTTAAATATTATTAAAATTAATAAATTAAAAGAAAACCGGCAAGATGGAATCGGGGAGAAATCTGGTCATGAAATGAGACTTCCAAGCTGATAATGTATAGACTGATGGACATGGGGACTTCAAACCGGGGAAGGGGGGGGGGCGATTGGAAATCCAAAGGCTGTGTAACCATCTTTTGAATTTTTCTATATCTCTTATTTTCTATTTCTTTATATAACTTACGCATGTCATTTTATTTTGATCGGACGTGTTTAAAAAAAGGGAAGTCGTGGAAGGAACTGGGGTGTATCTTGGGGAAAATATTTTTCTTTTCTTGTTAATGATGTGGGACGGTGGTAAGATTTTTACAATACACTTTGGATAGTGGGTAAAACAAATTAATCTTAAAATTGTGAGTGATATCTTGTAGAACCAAATTAAGGAAAGGGAATACAGTCAGGGGGAGGGGGAGTCCTAGAAAGTAGGCAATGAAAGTAAGGTTTTTAAATATCTTTTTTTCTTTTTCTTTTCTCTTTGTATTTCTATATTTTTGGAAACTTTAATAAATATGATTTAAAAAAAAAAAAAAGGAAATTTATTTGTTCACTTTCTTTCCTCTGTTTGTTCTCTTCCACCATGTGAACCAGCCAGATAGGGCACCTCAACTTGATTGCTCCAAGCTCAGACCAAGTGTTACGAAACTTCTTACCATATTTTGTAACCCAATTTTTCTGCCCATGAATCTGTCCTTTGAAAGTCTGTAAATAACAACCATTTTTACTTACCAAACTGTAGAAAGCAAAAGTGCTACAAATGACTTAAAACAGGATATTTAAAAGGTCTATTAGCATATATTCTTATGCTTCACTTTGCTGCATGTTTTGTGTTTTAAAACCTCTGCTGGGGATCTTTCTTACTGCTGAGTATT